GGGGGGGGTGTTGTCAGTTCTCCATTCATTATTCTTTTACATGAGCACATCATGTCTGGTATGGCGAGTTGGTGCAGCCCAAAAAAGTATGCTTACGTGGCCTGCTGTATTGGAGATGTTACCTTCAACAATACCGAGGTGACATCTACAACACCTCTGGATTATATGTTAGCTTTAGATACTGAAGACTGAACCATAGCTTTTTAAGAGACTACGGTCCCCTTTGATTGCAGGTCTCTGCTGCTGACGGCTAAGCAAAGACGCGCTTTTCATGTTGCTTGGAGCCGCAATCCATATCTACAACTTGAACCTTAGTCTGGGTAGAGGGGCGGCAAGGCTGAATATACGGCGAAGTGGAGAGTTGGCAGCGAGCAACAAGGCTGAAGCCCCAAACGACGGTGGAGCATCAGTGGCAGTGGCAGTGGCAGTGTTCTGGCACTCTGGCTGGCTGGCAGCGCCTGTGCTTGTGGCGGACAGTGATCGTCATCCCCGCTTGCGCTGCATCCGCCATTGTCACTCGTCGCAGTCACTGGCACACCGTGTACAGACTCGAGTGCAGCCTGCGTCCGGTTACCACAGGAGACCTCGCTGTGCACCTTTGTCCCCGGCTCTACTTGTGAGAGACACGCCACATCAGAAACCGCTGAGACTATCACCCTTTCATTATTGCCCCTACAAGGGAGATCTGAACGACACGAGTATCGCTCCTCCAGCCTACTGCATCTACCCCGCGAGGGCGACCAACAAAGATGAATCTGCTACACTCTGCTCTCGACAAAGTTCGCGACCGATATGCGCCTATCAAGCATACGTCGACCTTTCGGTCAACCGGTCAAATCACCCCTGAAGAATTTATCCTGGCCGGCGACTACCTCGTGTATAAGTTTCCCTCATGGTCCTGGTCCGATGCAGCCAGCCCAGCGCGACGCGTCAACTATCTGCCTCCGGAGAAACAATTCCTAGTGACTCGTGGAGTCCCCTGCCACAGGCGTCTAGACGAGAATTTTGCCGGTGGAAACGGGGCTGCAGACGACCTTGTACGGGACGGTTTCCTCGGTGGGCCAGACAGTGAGACTACGGGCGACGACGAGGGCTGGCTCCGAACAGGAGGCACGACCGAAAAGGAACAGGAAGGGCTAAGGGGAGAGGTGCGAACCATGAGCGAGAGCGGCCAGCTGGGCAAAAAGGCCAGCGAGGAGGAAGAGGAAGACGAAATCCCCGACATGGAAGACGAGGACGATGACAATGAAGCCATTATCAGGGACAAGAGCGAGGGTGCTTCAGCGTGAGTGATAGACCTACTGCTACACTTGCACTTCTCTTGTCCAAAATTACTGACAGACAATTTGTGCACAGCCCCTTGCGGACTTACACCCTCTACATAACATATACACCGTACTACCGCACGCCACGAATGTACCTGTCGGGCTACCTGTCGCCCTCGGAACCACTGCCTCCCCATCTCATGATGGAAGATATTGTCGGGGATTACAAAGACAAAACAGTGACTCTTGAAGACTTCCCTTTCTTCGACACCAGTGTCAAGATGGCATCCATCCATCCCTGCAAGCATGCCAGCGTCATGAAGATCCTTCTAGATCGTGCCGACGCGGCCTTGAAACTCCGGTTGCAGAAGCAGTCTGCTGGTGCCGCGGCTCCCGGTAACGTGTCAGGTATGGAAGGTCTGATTGACGACACCTCCAAATTGAACCTGGGGGATAAACGGAAGGAAGAGAAGCGTGGCCACGAAGCTGGAGTCAAGGCCGCCACGGGTGGTGCTGGGGGCGATGAATGGGAAGTACTCGACGAACAGGATGCTGACAAAGAGGACGAGGGAGACAAGGTGGCTATCCGGGTGGATCAGTATTTGGTCGTCTTCCTGAAGTTTATGGCCAGTGTCACGCCGGGCATTGAGCATGATTTCACCATGGGTGTATGATTCAGGATGTAGTGGTCTCCCCTTTTGGCAATGGATGTGCCAGAAGAACACACCGCTCTCTACCAGAATCATCATGAGGAACATCAACTAACGAGGCACGGCTAATGATGGGCGATGAGGAGCGTAACAATTCATGCAGGATGGACTTGACTGCATTACTGTGATTAAATTGGGCATTTGGCACAATGATGGGGTACTGGTTCTCATCAGGAAGACGCCGGTTCATAAGACGATTTTTCCATAGCTGCCCTATTACCAGGTATGGCAAAGAGTTTTTTGATCGCCATACCTTCAGTATAATCCGCTCGCCATGCTTCAATGCCTAAATAGTGGTACAAGTTCGTATCTATGAATCTCCTAGAGCCTCAATCTTCCCAATGCATGCGAGTCTCCTTAATCTGCGCCCCAACTATTGAATATTCCACATTCCATTGATGTGCCCGCTTCATTTCATCGAAGTCATGGCTTTTCCACGTCAATGCTGAAGGCCACCTGCTGTGGTCAGGATGAGTAAAAACACCTGATGTCTCTGTCATTTCTCGTTTGTGCCAGTCCCCTTCAGGTTGACTATTATCATATAGTAATCGAATCTTCATATCCCAATAGCCTTGGTCGCATCTCCTACAGTCCCGCTGGCTGTTTTTCCCACTCCATCAACAGTGTCGTTGACTTTCGAATTCGGTCCATTCGAAGAAGGGCGACTCGCTTGATTCTGGACCTTCCTCTGATGTGCTGTGTGGTTATGGTTTGAATCCTTTGTATCGTGATGATTATGCTGTGCCCCAGTCGTAGTACCCGTAGTAGCACCACCACTGTTCTGCCCCTTTTCCTTCTTGTCAAGTTTCGCCGGTGTGCGTTGTGCAGGTTTCTGATGGTGTTGCTCATGCGTTTGATTGCCATGTTGGTGGCTGTCCTGTTTGCCATCATGCTGCTGCTGCTGCTGCTTTGGATGTCCAGCATCATCACCAGACAACACCCCATTGACACCAGGCAAATCACTCAATCCGGCCGCCTTGGCCAATCCGCCCGCAGCATCGGTATGTATACCAGGGACATCTTTTTGATTGAACCACTTGACGATATAATAAGCGCCCAGGCCCCAGAGCCAAATAAACACGGCGGCGCCAGTCGTGAAGAACAAGACGGGCAGCAAAATGAGCAGGGCGAACCCGATCGCGGCAACTGTGAACAGTAATGCGCCCAGGACGCCGACCAAGATCCCAGCTATCAATGCAAAGATAAATACTGTTACTGACATGAATCCGAACAGAACCAACGGAAATCCGGACAGTGCGATTTGTGATAGCAAGAAAGAGGCCAGGTACGGTCGCTCCGTGGCGAATTTGGTCAGCCACTGTTTCCATTGTTCGCGCTTCTCGGGCGGGAAGAAGCGGTCGAGCCAGCCTCCGCCGGCGTTGATTAGGTTGTTCACGCCGCCTTGGAGCATTCCTGTTAGGCTGCCGAGTCCGGAGCCGCTGAGGCCGCCGCCGGCGAGAGAGGTGATTGTGTCGGCTGACATGGTGGGTAGTGGTGTTCAGCGATGATGTACCGGAGAAATAGGGACCGGGAGAAGGGACAGGCCTTCGGCTTGCTTGCTCAGGGAGATTCTGTAAGTACGTGAATCTGAAGCCTGGGATGTGTTTTGAAGAAGCCCAGACCCTGGATCTGGAGACTGCAGTCCAGTTCTGCCCTAGGGTGAAAGAGATCGGGCGATGCTGTGGTTATCCCAATGCGAGCAGATCGCTTGAGCTCTCGCTTCTCGCCTCTGTTGTACGTTTCAATGTCAAACGCCTTGCATTCTCCGCAATCTTCAAGTGCGCCCGCACTGGCAGGCCTCCTTCACAAGTTTCGCTCTCTGCACAACAAACTGAGCGAAGAATATGCGTCGCTGCAGAGCTTTTAGAGGAAATCAAAGAATGTCAGCACGGCGTTTGTTGAACAAGACTGTGGTGCACAGGTGAACTGTAGTGGGTGACGGCAACTTTGAAACCTGTTTTGATGACGTCCCGGTTGAAGTTGGACGCTGCAGGGATTATTTTCTTCGCGTCTTTGCAGCATGTGCCGTTTTGTTGCGTTTCCGCGCTGTGGCGGTGCAGGCTAACTAACTGAACACAACAATCAACCCTCGTGCCAGTGCTGGTCACATTGCTAGGTGATGGGCAGTGATATCCTGATTCCACGGAGTACCAGTAGTAATTAACACGATTACTGTCGAGGTCAAAGGTCTCATCTGTTTCGAAGATTCCCTGCATTGTCATCCCTACCGTCTGCGTCTACACCACCTATTGCGCTGGCATGTCCACGTCGAATTACAACAGAGATACCGGCCATGCTGTACTAGTATAACCCAGCACAGCATGAGAGAGGAAGGAACAGGAAAAATTGTTACATGAAGTACAGAGCAACTTGAAGTCCTTCAAAGCCGCAACTCGAACTGCAGTCCTAACCGAACGGCCACCTCATGGTCGGACTTCGACCAGCCAGCAGATTCAGTATCAGACCGAGAACAGGGTTGGTCTGGCCAGGGCTGCTTCATGGACGCCGACCCCCAGACACTCGATCTCACAACAGGAACTTGAAGGGCTCGCAGACATCGAGCGCTGATCCGAAAAATAAGAGACAAATTCCTGTGCTGTGATCATTTGCAGAACAACGGTTCAGGCAGATGTTCGTACTCGATTCTCTCCCAGGGATCGTCGGACGCTTCGTTCTGCACGGCTCCCAGACACGCCCTGTCGAAGACTTTCTCATGAACATTGATAACTCCGCTGACAACACGAATCAGCTTGACTTGCTGGTCGAGTTCTCGATTCGCTTTGGGAGACTTCTCCAGGGCCACAAAATAAGCGCAAGTTCCTTCGTGGGCAAGGGCAACCAAATTTTCAGGCACATCCTTGTCCGGTCGTGAGCCTGCGAATATCTGCACCGAATTGGTGAGTCGACGAGCATCCGGGGCATTCCACTCGTTGCCGTACACGATCTTGAAATGCTCGCTCCAGTGTAAGCCCCGTGCTTCTAGCCTCTTCGACACCTGACTGGCATAGAATCCCTGAATGCCGGCGCGTGTAGGGTACAGCCTGGCGGAGACGGTCATGCGCGACAGGCACAGTCCCAGTGCGATGATGCTTTCGACCAGAACAGCGAGACAGTACCCATGGGGCGGCGGAACGCCATCTTGGCCTTCCTCCAACTCCTCTCTGGAGGTGCAAATGCCGCAGCGGCAGGCCCTTCTTATCTTGCTCAGTTGCTCGACGTACGAAGCCGCCGCATCCCGGTATGTTTGCTTCAAAGGCCTCTCCATGCGGCCCTGAAAGCGTCTCAATTCCGGCAGCCAGTTGGTGATGGTCTCCACCAACCCGGCCCCATATGATGCTGTATTGCTTCGATTTTTGGTCGACACCAAGACGCCATGGTCTTGACCGTCTTCGCCCAGAGCCAAACCCTCAAACATTCTGGCTCCTGCCCCGATCATGAGGCCAAAAGCCTTGGATTCCTCGTGGTCAAGATAGTGGAAACTCTTGCCGAAGACTCGAGGTAGGAGTGATTGCCATGCCACTCGCCCGCCGAACGGTGTTGCGTGGACAGCAGCAGAGTAGGTTCGATCCACCAAGGTCAGCTTCGCCAGACTCACTTGACTTGGCTTGAAAGGCTCGGCGGACGCCTGTATGCCCGGCTCCGCGGTATACACGAGGGTCAACTGGGCGTCCTGGTCCTGGTGGGTGACGTGGAGCTGGACTCCGGTGTCCTGAAAAACAGCTATCCGCAGATCGCAAAGCCACTCTGCGATAGCACCAAACCATGAGATGACGGCACTCCCAGTCAGTGTCACGCCTTTCGCGTGCCCTGCCGTGACACGCATCAGAGCCTGGAGAGCCTTTGCGACTGATTCGGGAGGTATCAGGGCTTCAACATTTGTGACATGCCGGATCGGATAAGGGTCCATGCGAAGATACTCTTCAACCAACAATCCAAAATCGGTGGAAGCAAATACCCCGTTCACCGCGTGAAGTGCCGCTACCCACTGGGAGAAATGAGGAGTGACATCCTCCCGCCCTGCCGCTGCGTGAGCCATATGCTTGAGTATTTTGGCCCCGTAGCTTTCGCGGAAACTCTCGCCGATTGCTATCATCATGGCAACATGGTCGTAAGATCCTTCGTGGATGGCCTTATCGCGGATCACATTGCCCAACCCCCATCCGAATGATAGCCTGTCATCCTCTGCGACCGATTGATAGACGGGCAGATTGCTGAGCACGTTGTTGATGTTCCGCTGGCCGTTCACCGAGATGTTCAGATCTCGGAACAGAACGTACGCCACATACCGGGTGTAAGCGTCGACTCTGGCCCCGGTGAACTTCCTCAGTGTAGATGACGATATAGATATGGTCTCTGGGATATCTTGGGTGACAATGGGCATAGTGATGATCAAACTCCGACTTCAGGCTGGGTTCGATGCCGTGACAGTAGCTGCAGTGTCCCTACATATTAGTATGTGCAAGAAAGGTCGGATCTCTACAACCGAAGGTTGTAAGATAGTATCAAGATTTGATAGCTTGAGGTCCTCGCCTCTATATATCAGTTATCGTTGTTCTCCTGTGCCTCTTTACCCAGAACTGCAATCGTGTAGTTCAAGCTTCCTTGCTGCACTTAGTCAGCGATTCCAAACCCTCACTGTGCCTCAAGTGTCTTTCATTGGGGCCATACATACAGAGGTATCATATTGTTGTAAGCAGTCGGCTCCGATGCCCCACTACCAAGAACACTTACGTCAACTGTACTTCCTAAACCTCGCTATCGACTCTAAACAACGCTCGATAACGACGTCGACTTGGACGAGTTTGCCATACTCTAGAATGCTCTATATACCGTACGAGATACGGTATCCTTTTCGATTCTATAGTATATATAGGAGTGCTCTATATATGTCACGAACTGAACACGTGACTAGTAAAATAGCAGGATATCAATTACAGGTCCAGAATTCCAAGCAATCAATTACAGGTCCAGAATCCCAAGCACAATTGCTTGGAATTCGAGTCTTTTTGGAGCAATCCTCCAAGCGGCCGTGGACCTGTCCGTGACAATATACTGTAAAGTAGATAGAGCGAGAGCAAATTCAACTATTTTAGCGCACCTACTAATAGTTATAAGCCCGGTTTACAACTGACTACCCTACTAACGCCAATTACTAACTACTCTAACGACTACTCTCTTAAGGACGAATTAATATAGTATTAATAGGATTCTATAGTAGGAACCGCTATAGTAGTCTACTACCAGGACTCGACACACTCTCCTACTATCTCCGTTACGTAAACCAGCCGTCTATTAGATCCGTTATACTAAAGTAAGTAATTACTTTAGGTTAGTAAATTATACTTATCGGCTATCTACAACTCTAGTAGAAATACGTATCTCTGGTAGTGTTACGGATGCTCAGCAAACCGCACGTGCACTAGGCATATGACGGTCCACGTAACTTACCGAGGTCTTAGTACGCGCCCGGTGCAGGCGTATATCTATCCTACGCGCGCGCGCAACTCTCTTGATAGTCCTTCGTACTGCAATTCAAATCATATCTCTGTCATGCGTAGGTCCACGCTCGCACTGGGCTACTAACCCATAAAAAGACTTGAATTCCAAGCACTTGTGCTTGGGAATTCTGGACCTATAATTGATACCCTTGTCACTCCTGACAATCTCTCACCTATTGGTTCGATACCTTATCGCACCTTGTAGGTTCGTGATAGGTAGGTATCGGTAGATGTTTGTAGCCGCTACGGATATCTTATATAGGGAAGAGATTATAGTTAATTTTGGAAAGCAGTCACTAGGATGTATTGACTGCCAGTGCCAGTGAGTACATAAATAAAGTGGTTGAGAAGCTATGGAATTGGACCACTGGGCATATACAAGTGATGTGCGAAAGTGGTGTCCTAAAACCCATAAAAATTCGTTGAAAGGCGATCGCGTCTGCTCCACTGTGGGGCTGCGCTTAGCTAAAAATGGCAGTTTTTAAGATCGGCTGTTCGACGAATGAACTTGCCATAGGAACGGGTCCGTACCGATCTTACTTTACATAAATTATTCCCCTCCGGTCATTTGAAGCTCATTATTTTGCCATGTAATTTGCCACGGAGGTTCTGGTCGGAGTCCTTGGGCAGCCCTGCAGCTCGCCAAATGGGCAGAGAGGGGGTGTAAGGGACGGAACAGGACTTTGCCAACTGATGACGTACTTGTGTTCACCGCAGGGTGTTTCGTGTCAGCACATGACTAAAGCGCAGTTAGGATGGATGCTGGTCATCGCAGGGAAATCTCACTTTTGCCGCCCCTGCGTCCAGCTCGTCCAGACCCTAGCTCGTACACGCATACGCATGATGCTATCCGTGGATGTCTGGCAGGGAATCGACCGTTTGGCATTTCACGAAAATGCCATTCTACTCGATGTAAAAGTACGATCTCAAGCCGATCCCATCAGATCTGCCATTCACAACCACGACCATGTTGAATCTCAAGATGGCCTTACCCCTCAGATTATATGCGACGTCCTCGATGACTTTGCCCTTGTGTTATCTGGCAGTGGTGGGAAGGACAACGTTTCTGCGGCCTGCATGGAATATGATGAGGAGCTTCGTACAATCACTCTTCGCATCTCAAGCAACGATGGCATTGAGAGACTAAAGCACGCAGATCTACAGAGACTTCTGCAATTGATCACAAATGTTTCTGGTCCAAACACTGAAATGCGAAGGGAAGAAGTGCTGATCTTCATCCTACAACAGTGCGCTACCTCATTTGTGAAACATGTGAATAAATTCATGAATGAACTCAAACAGGCCCAATGTCCAGGCACACACCTACGATTCCCTGCCTTTCCCCTTCATGACCGCACCGCTGAGTCGGCAACCGATATAGACCACCTGGGACCTTATAATCACGACAGCCACCAAGCATACATGCTGCTTAGTTCCGAACGACTGCAAAATCTGCGAAAGATCTCTGGTAATTTGACCACCTCAGGAATTCAATCAGACGTTTCAGAAATGGGGCGGTTGGCCAAAGCAGCCTATGGTGTCCAGCTATCCAGCTCGTTCTATCATTTTTTGCGCTACAACCTTCTTGCCAGTAAGAAACCAATGGCTGTGCAGTTGATGGCTCAAAGTCTGAAAGAGCGGTTAGGGAAGATGTCAAGATATTGGAGAGCTGCAAAGACTCTGACGGCGTTTGGATCGGCAATGATAATCCACGACTTTACAGTCAATCTTTTGTGTCTGCCTACTTCCAGACAGCCGGTCCGGGAGATTTGCAGGCGGACCCCTGCGCAGCTGCGAAGTCGCGGTGGCCTACACTTCCAGTCGTGCAACAATGGGCAGCTGCAAGGAAAACTTGGACAATGGCAGAGCTATCGCCTACATTGTGAGATGCAGCTTGTCATCTTCTACGAGGAAAATCCACATCTGCAGCTGCGAAGTCATTACATCGGTTGCAATAAACTGGCATGTTACCTGTGTTATAACTTTATCACCAACCACGGACAATTTCAGGTCAAAGGATGCCACCAGGGGCTGTACTCGTTGTGGACAGTGCCCCTCACCATTAACTTTGCGACGCATGAACGAGCAAGCGAATTCAGCAGTGCGTTGAGACAACTGGCCCATATCCTCGAAAACAAGGTAGATTCGATTCGCAGGGCGTCCAAGTCACAGTGGAAATATAGGACAAATAATGAATCCACAGCCAATCTTTCTCGTATATCCCTCCAGTGGCCAAGTTTAAGAGGAGCAACCACCAAAGCTACAACTGAGGTTTCCGCTATCAATGAATCTAGACTGCTGTCCCAGCCAAGAAACCAGAGCAGAAGACATGATTCCAGCGAACGGTATCGGAACAATCTGGAAACCCCTCCTTCGACAAACATCGCGGGAGATAGATTAGCAATGCAACCAGCTCAATGTCCAACGCTGGATCGTGTACCGGTTGTGGTAGCCAGCACTACCCAGACTCGCGGCAACACCGGAACTGACATAGATGTGCAGCCAACGTGGAACCTCGGCGCCACTTTGCCGGCTCCAAGAGAATGCAGAAATCTGTCTACAGCGGCGATCACCTCGCCAGTACCTCCCTTGTTGCACATCGAGATAAGCAAGAACGATACTTTGAAGGTTCCGCGGTCTCAAGACAACGCACCCGCGACAGCTTCACAAGAGATCGGACGATCGCCTCTGTCACTACCGTTGGACTCAACAAGCCTTGCACCGCAGATGTCTTCCTCGAAGGAAGAGAATTGCTCGCAGTGCCAGGATGAACAGGGAGAAGAAGAGTATGTACAAAGCACACATGATTTTTCGTGAGGAGCGCCTCAAAGACTGACAACTCTTCAGAACGAGCTCACCTGGACAGAGACAGGCGCAGGTTCGACTATCCACGGATCTCGTTTATGAGCAGAATTATCATTCCGCACATATCATTGGAGATCATGAAAGTCGAACCTCTGACATGCCGTCCAAGCATGGCACGCGGGAAGAACAAACGACTGATCAATTCCGCATGCCATGTTTGAACGGCATGAGTCGAACATTCGACTTTCATGAAACGAGTCTCTTCCTTGAGATTGAGTGCCCAAGAAGCGCACAAGTTAATGTTTTGCAGTGTTCAAGACCGCAGAGATCGACAGCTAATCCAGTTGTTGAGGTCGATAAAATTGAGCCTGGAGAGTCCGTTGATTTTGACATGGGGGAAGACTTCTCCAAGACCCGATTAATGTTCCTTATAAAGCGCAACAATAACGGAATCGATCAATGGTTGGAATGCCGTTGGAAGTAGGGTAAGGAATACACAGTGTGTTGAGAAAAGTAGGGGAATAAAGGGGAGGATTGCAATTTGCGAAGGTCTTTATTGCGCGGTCTATCGATGCCAAGCCGGCGTCTTTGGTTTCCGAAAAATCATTGTTGCACAAAGTGAAAATACTGTAGCCGACGCGTTACTTCGGAAAATTTCCCGACTTAGTTTCCCCACGATTCGCAGAGGGGACGACATGCTCCTCCAACTATATTATAAGACCCCACACTTGCTCGACCTCACCTGCACCTCCGACCTGACTTTCAAGGACAACAGTGCAAAGAAACACCGTGGGTCCTACCTCCCTGAACATCATGGGGAAGAGCAGACGGGGAACACAGGGTAAAATATGCTGCATCAACTCGCAATTGGCCTGCGAAGAGGAAAGAATTGCTTTTACTTCGCTTCCAAGAGGTGTTGCTGGACACATGGTTGTAGTTCTCAGTCAGCCAGATTGTTCCGACCATGTTAAGTTTGCGACAGTACGATATGTTGTACCCTGAAGTCCGCCCGAACAATTTGACTTGCTCGTGGTGATAGATTACTTCCAGTGCCTAAGGCGATGTTCAAGGGAACCGGTATCCTTTCCAGCTTCACCTACGCGATTACAATAATCAATTCCTCCCCCCCCTCTTCGGCCCTTCCTTTACGTTCATATCTAAGGGCAGAAGAGCATGTGGTCTCGTTGGAGACACTATTGCCGGTTGAAGGAGATTTTGGTAAGTATCTAACGTTGAAAAACGAGTCGGTTAATAAACTAGTGTCTGCACTGAAGCGAAGCGTACAAGGGCAATCGCTTATAGCCTAGAATAAAAGATGCTCGGATGGTCGCATCTCAGGCCAGTAAGGTGGAGTAGAACCGTATATGGGAATACTATAGCACCCGTCACGGGAAGACCTCTCCGAAGCATTCTTTCCGGCTGCGTTTTTTAAGGCCAATAGCAGTGGAACGGCTTGCTTTCGCTGGCACAGTACCTGTCCCCTAAGCTACTAGGAACGAGTCCGGCCAAGGGAAGAGCACTCTTTGACGTGCTGATCGAGCAGAGAAGCATAGCCCATTTATCCATTGTTTGATCCTCAACCGCGGAGATCCGGTTCAGCGTATGGGTTCCCTTCAACCTCAAAAAGTCCATGTTTGTCCATTGGCTCAAGGGGTCTTTCCATTCTCTCGCTGACGCATTATACCACCAGGTGCAGACCTATCGGGGAAATGAATGTTTGCCAGTTGAAACAAAAATCGTGTAGCAAGACTGATCTGGCGCGGTGACGCACTGCGGGGTATCCTCGGCTATTTTAGGATCAGGCAACTGTGTAACAAAACGGGCACCCCTAAGTACTAAGTATTATAAAGACGTCGAGAGCCGTCTTTTGGTCTCGACTAGCGTCGTACGCTATCGTATAACCTCTAGAAAGTATATAGTTTGACGAGGCCCTAGGCCCCGTTGAAATAGGACAAGTCCTCCGTGAAATCACAACTGTGTCAAAATGTCGTTACGTGATACTCCAGGTGTCGCTCCTCCAATCGATAAAAGAAAAACTATAGCGCTCTATGTTATTCCCTCAATCCTTTCCGTACTTGGGATGCTCTCAGAAGATGTCTTTAGATAGTAGCATTGAGCACGCCGAGAGATTGCTTCACAGTCTGAATATCGCCGAGAACGTGGTTCAGAGTCGTCGACAAGGACAAGAACAGGAACGCTCAACACGCGATCAACTAGTCCCTCTTCAGACCAGCATTCGCACGCTTTACCAAGCGACAAACAACGTCACCTCACAAGTTCAGTCTGTCGAGTCACTAGCTAACGATGCGAACTCAGCCGAGGGCCTGTCTATTGCAGAAGTATGCTCACTCCATGGCGAAATCAAGAAGCTTGAGAAGGCCGCTTCCAACATTCAAGGCGCACTTGATGCGCTCCATGAGGTCACCCATCATTGCATTTTTCTCAAACTCAGTTTGTATGGAGGCCGGGGCGGGATCGTTGGTAATAAGATTTTACCACATTTCGAGAAGCAGATAAAAGACATTATTCGCGATGTCTTAAATGACAATGGCGATACCACGGCGTTGTGGAAGGTGGCTGAGGAGTGCTATGACCAAGCCACGAAACCTTTTGGAAAACTCGATGCTGAGAACTACTTCGCTCCACTCGAAGAAGCCTATCTACAATGGCCATACGATCCGGATTTCGAGAGCGAAGAGTACTATGAGCATGAGAACCGCCTTGACGTGGACGAGGATTACGCTGCAGCTTTCCAAGAACAGATCCAACGCAGATCCGATGCGCGCCAGCAAGACCGTAAGGCTTGGCCCAAATTTTGGACCGCAGTATTGAATGAAGTTCCCGATGGACCAACCTTGTTCTGTCCACCAGCCCGTTTGCATACACCATTATCATTTCTGGAGGACGTCCCGCGATACTTGTTCCGAACCTTCGACGGGGCCAGCTCGGGGAAGAATGACAGTAGCGTTGTGGCTTCGATAGCGAGCGTTCTCATGCCAAGCAAAAGCCGGCACGATCTTCTCTCAATGGACGAAGATCGTGTCACTCAACTGCTGTATCAGCACCTGAACAAAAGTTGCTTTGGCGGCGATGGATCTGATAATTTGATGTCCTGGACAAGCTCGCTTCTCTTCGCTATACAATACGGTATTTGGAGGGCAAACATCCGCGGAATTTCGCTCTCTGACGTCAAGATCTGTGCTGTCGACACTAGTAACTTTCCGAAAGGCCAGTTCGTCCAAGATTTATGTTTACTTGAGGCGTATCGTGTAGCTGCCCAGGACACGGACAAGGACACAAGAGAATTTTTCCGCTTCCGACTTGAGACTGACGACTTCTATAATGGCGAATATCTTTCTCAGGGACAAGTTAACCATGCCGGACGATCATGTGTAGCCACTCTTGAACACCTGCTGAACTCTGGACTTCGCCAATTATACCCCGAGTTCGGGGATCCCAGAGGTGCTGAGAAATGGACAAAACGAGTACTGGAACTGCGACGGAACTGGTCTCCGGGACAATTCACGACTGACCAGGAGATTGAACTTGCACTTGAAGTGGCACGCAGATGCTTTGAAAAATACAATTCATCCGAGATCGCTTTAATCCTTCTGGGTTTCAAGAGTCGCAAGCACTCCAGGCTAGAATCTACAGGTGAGTGGCGACTTTCGAGGATGTCGTTCGGTTTGGATTTCTCTAGCAGTGACTGACCTATCGAAGACAATCCAGGTCAATTCAACAGACGGCCGCCAAAATGGGCCGAAAAGCCAGTGGAAGTCCATCGATACTGGATCGCCACTGAAGGACTTCATTGCTACAGTCAAGCGCGGATCAATGGTTTTGTTCTACAACGCCACAAAGCACTACGAGAGATTCTCGGCTGATATTGTAGTCGCAGTGTCGTCTGCGCGAGGATTCAATGAGACTACCAATGGCTGTGCGAACGATTTTCGAACGCGATGTTAAAGGGTTGCGCAGAAACCAGTCAGTTCTAGTGTGTCGGAGGAGCAAGATGAGGGACGCGGGACGGCGGAGATAGGTTGGCCCATTGATTGCCTTATCACCAATCCTCAACGACCTTGCCATTGGCGCTACTAATCGAGGCTCTCAATGTCGGACTCCGGATGCAGGGTCGCATACAGCAATGCAACCAGCGGCAAGGCGTCGCTAAGCAGGCTTCGTGCCTCAGAATCATGGGAGCGCCAACACAGCGAATAAATTGCTGGTCTGTGACCAAAATGCCATCACAGCACCACCCGACGCGTTTGCTGGAGATCTAGGCGTAGACAAAGAAGTTCAGCGAGAAGAATTAACATGTCTCTGGACCTGTGTGCAGCGACTGCGTGCCCACTGGAAATCCGAATAAATACCAGATCATCAATCCCCGCGTGCAAGAGTGATTCAAAGAGGGAGGATCTCAATAAGTGTCTAAGATCCTGAGAGAGGAGTGCAAAGCGCATTTCGCTTCGCAAGGCTGGTAAATCTCAGCTTCGAACCAATAATGTGGCTCCACGTCGGGCACATGACGAATCGTTGCCGCCGCACCTCGTTGAATCACTCTTCCAGTGCATCGCCGAAAAAGCAGGAAGATATATGTTCGCTGCACGTTATTCCTGTCGGATGAGTGGCGGGAAAAGTGTAGTGAATCGAGACAGCACGCTTTACCCGACCAACCCCACGAAAACTCGTCAGGAGCTACTTTCAACAATTGTATACTAGCTGACTGTCTGAAATATGAGAGACTGCTTGAACTGTACGGCGCAGAATCGCCAGTGTGTCTTTGCGGATGATTGGGAGTCCTGTCTAACCTGCAAAGAAGCCAATAGTGGCCAGTGTGACGGAGTTCTGAACCTGTCTGATATCTCTCTGGCCAACACTGATTTGAGAAAGGCTGAAAAAGAAGCCATGCAGCTTCTGGCACGTGCAAAGCAAGACGCTGAAATTCTCAAAAACCTGAGCGCGGATCTCAAGATAAAGCAAGCCAGCTTCTCGGCCTCGAAGGCATCCCATACAGAAGCTCAGGATTCTGAGCGTCTCAAGACGGAAATTCAGGCGATGGCCTTGACTGGAAAACAGGTCTCCGAACGCCACAAGGCAGACAGAATGGCTTACAACCAGTCTCTTCAACACATCAAAGAATTACGAGAACGCGCAGAGAATTTATTTCAAGAACTCTTCATCCAGGTGCATCGTCGCACGATCAATGACTGTTTTGAGTGTCAAGATACTGGCAAAGCCTGTGCCTTGTCGGACGAGTCGGAGCAATGTTTCCCGTGCCAGAGCCCCCTTCGCCGGCGTTGCCAAGGGAGTTTGGACGACGAAGATACTGATCGGATGAGAGTTGCGCTGGAAAATCTTGATGATCAAATCGACCAGCGTTTATCTTGCGAAAGTCTCCAACCCGACCAGTACCAATCGTTGAAAGCGCAACTCGTGCAGGCGAAAGAGGTTATGGCGGGTTACAGACAGCATCCTGATCCGACGCCGCAGCAGTGTGCCGATTATGCTCGTCGTCACTCGCTTTTGAAACGGGCAAAGAAGGAGCTAGAAGATTTTCGCAATCAAAGCATGATAGATGACCCTACTTACCAAGAGCTCCGAATTCGAAGGCGATTGGTGGATGAGTGTCACTCCGAACTACTTGAACGTGGAGTTTTTTACTACGAGGAGCTCGAAGAACTTGCCGGACACCCTGAACGGCGTGGTCACAAAGCAGCAGAGCATATGGATCATGATGAGTTTCGTGCGGCAGTGGAATGGGCTGCCGAACACCATGAGGAGTGGACTCAGTCTCCTCTTCCTACGACGACGCTGTCAGAGGGTACGGATGATGATGACGCATGGGATTCTGGCATAGAGATCTAACGCCGACAAAGACGGTTGAATCTATGTGTTTCATGAGATTGTCGTGTGTTAATCGTAACGTTTTTCGGCTATCTACAGCGCGGTTCATCCGTGATATGATGTGACCGTAGAAACGTCACGGAAACTCAACGGTAATGATATCTATTCTGAAGAGCTCCCATTAAAAGATTCATCCTCCATATCCCGTCGCTTGGAGACGTGTTCTTCAGCCTTAGCGTAGGCATCTTCGTCTCCGTCGTTAAGCTGCTCTTCGGGAGTCTGCGTTCGCCGGCGCTTTTTTAAGCGCATGTTTGGTTCCTGCCTCGTGGATTCGGCAATTCTCACAACAGTTTCCGCCTCTACCAGATACCGATACATCTCGTCGCACGACACGAAAATGTCTCTATCTAAGTCCTTGAAATGTCGGCACGTCCCTTCATCTGCAAAATCCTCCAGGTGTAGTCGTAGGCCGAGGGTTTTATCCGTATTTGGGTTGCCGTCATCATTGCGGAACACCTGCTATTCGTCAATCTTTTGCCAGACAGAGGATTCAGCCAGACTTATTTGGTTCGTGACCGTAGATTCGACAACCCAAAATTTGTCAGCTCCAGAGCTCTGCTCTTTTGCCCGCCAGACTGAAAAGACAGCCCTTTTGTTCTTGCTGTACTCAATGTCAACTCCTACCACAACCCGAATCACAAGATCGTTTCCGAAAATGTATTCCTCCGCAAGATTTCTCAATATCCTCCCATTCTGTGAATGCGCTACCTCGATAATCACCGTGGGTAATGGCGATCTAAGATGCTGGAAGGAACTGTCTGGATCGTGGCTCCCGTAGTCCGGATCTCGAGCCCTTATCGTAGCAGACCCAACGTCTCGGATATCTTTCGCAAACTCTGCAGCTGGCCCAGACTCGCGGGATAGGAGACGCAGATGTTCACTAATACGCCCACTGAGGCTGCGCAAGAATAGCTCATGAATTTTTGTGGGCAGACGCAGAAAGAGGTGCTCGCTCGAAGGAAAATAATCGAAACTATGCCTCGACATTATTATCTTTTGAACCAAGACTGAAAAAGCTCCGACATACTGTATCTTGTCGTCTCGTTGCAGCAGCTCTTTCACAGTATTCCACTCTCTCCTGTCAACCTTGAGTATTGTCTGGCTCGCGCTGCCAGACTTGTGATGTGCGATCTGCTGCCGAACGAAGGTCGCGTCACGCGCCACCTTCTCGTCTGTCGGAGGAGGAGAGGGAGGATGACGAAGACTCGAAGGGGGAGTGATTTCTCCCTTATCGTACGTCGGACCGCTCATCACAAACAACTGCGAAGGCAGAGAGATGTAGCCGTTCGACAGAGGCTTAAAGACTCTTTGAGGCCGCAGGGGCATCTACCGCGGCAAGGCATCGCGGGATATTCACGGCTATTCCGGCCAAGTGTCAGCATCACGTGAGTGTCACGTGATTACAACAGTCCAGTTTCCTCAGCCTAGAACATTCTGGGATCTTGCTGCCACGGTGTTCACAACTAGTAGCCTGCGGGTGAGCGCAGTTTTGTACAGAGTGCTATAACTACTTCACTGTACATACGTGCTGAATAGAGGTTGTCGAATTTGCCTGCGCCGGACTTTTGTCAGCAAACAATGGCTCCGAACCTCGCTGTCGCCCAACATGCGGAGACCCGTGACATGATCGTCAGCGGAGAACTTACAGATCGGGAGATCGCCCAAATGACGCAATGCAGCGAACGAACCATCCGGCGACATCGAGCGAACCTAATGTGTTTTGGCAGCACCTCTGCACCCCGACATCGTAGTGGGCGACCCTCCTCGATCACCTCCCCGATGCTGGCGGCACTGCGTGAACACCTGCTTGAGAAGCCTGACGAAGATCTGGACGGCATGGTCTTGTTTATATGGGATGAGTTCGGAAAGCTTCTTTCACGATGGTCGGTGAGAAGGGCGCTGTCCTCCATTGCTTGGTCGCCTAAAGCAATGCGACGCATTGCAAGGGGCAGAAGTGCTGACTTACGCGACTATGATGCACATGTGGTTTCTGAATTCCCTTCATGGTGTCATTTGTACGTCGATGAATCAGGGTGTGACAAAAGAATCGGTTTCCGTCGTTGGGGGTGGTCGCCACGGGGCGTGACACCAGGAAAGGATCGCACAGTTCCAGCGTGGACAACGATACCAGATTCTGCCTGCCTATGACCAAGACGATGTTGTTTTCTTCCGCATATTCCAAGGCTCTACTGATGCAGCTTTCTTTCTGGAATACATGCAACAGTTGTTGCCGCACTGCAATCCTTTCCCCGGAAGACGGTCTGCCGTAATCATGGACAATGCATCATTTCATCGTAGCCCCGAAATTGACGCGCTGTGTGCGCGTGCTGGTGTCAAGCTGGTTTACCTGCCTCCTTATTCGCCTGACTTCAATCCCGTCGAGGAATTTTTCGCAGAGCTCAAAGCATTTATAAAGAAACATTGGGTGGTGTTCGAGACAAATCCCGAGTACGGGTTCGAGACCTTTCTCGAATGGTACGTCGACGAAGTCGGAGGGAGAAAAGCGAGCGCACGAGGACACTTTCGCCATGCTGGGGTGACTATTCAGGAGCATGATGGACAATGAGTTCGATGCTAATAAACTAAAATTACATACATGAAACTTTATAGATCCTGTTTGAACACTCAGATGCTGAAGAACGACGCCAAGAGTAATTGATGCTTAATGGATGGAACCATGCTCTGTATGAGAACAATCATCATGCGCGGAGTCTGCGTGATGATGGAGCTTACGACGTTTGGCGTAAGTTTTAATGTCTCGATAGTATCGCCGAGCAATACCTATAGGAACTTCTCGCTTCTTCGGCGAGAGACTGTCAGTCCGCATAGCTGGAGATGAGGATGCAAAGCATAGGTTATCTCTTCAGGGCTGGCTCTCTTTATCAACTCAAACTTACCATCAACCTCCAAATTCGCCGCTGGATTCCTCACAATCGTCTTTGGCTGGTCCGGCGTCAAGGCATCTTCACAGTCAATCTGCTTCTGGCCGCCGTTGATGGTACTACTACCGGTCCAAATGTCGATATGTCTTTTTCCCGACCCGCCGTTCCAATCATCGGTGCATTGCGCACAAGTGTCTTCGAACCGAACGTACTTCTTCAGGTAAGGCACATAGATGGTCTCGCACTGATTGAGTTTGCCGGGCGCAGTGGCCATGGTGAGCGGGTTGTCGTGGGTGCCTGTGCCGCCGGCGACGAAATTGCGTCCGCCGCAGTTGTATGCTGTTGCTGGACCCGGTGGGTCGTTGTCGGGGTATCCGTAAAAGGTGTGTTGGACGTTGCTGATGGAGGATGTCAATGAGCCCACCGCTGCGGCGTCTGAATCTGATAACTTGAGCACTATGCTGGCACAAGCTAGATTGCCGAACAGGAGAATTGTGAGGTGTTTCATGGCTGTGGCTGGCTGCAAGCTTTGGGGACTGAAAGGTGGGTTGTCTGGATATCTTCAGTTTGCAGCAAGGAATCAAATTGTTCAGAGTCTGTCTCACGGGTCAAGGAATCGAACACGGCTGCTTGGGTTTCAGAGGATAATGCTGGCTGATATGCAGTGATCGAAATGATCTACTCTTCAACACCAAGAGAGTGCCGGGACAATGTTGAGGGGAATACACAGGCGAATAGATAAACTGCTTGTTTTATCGTCTTTGCGGTAGTCCGTGTCCCTTGACTACCACTGCAGCTTACCTTCTGTCTTTCGGTGTCCATCCGGTGGGAAGCGACCGATCGCAGGTCAACTGGTGCAGACTCAAAGCAAGCTGAATGCCATGGCACACAGTTAGGCACGCCGTAAGCCGACACGGAAAGCTGAACTCAAAATCAACACTTGGAGGGTGAGGTGCAGCAAAAGGCATCCTGGCATGGAGTGGCACACACCGCTTCCTGCAGGGTGTGATCTATCTCCTCGCAAAGTCAGCACGTTTGTTGTTACACAAGGCTTTCAGCCCAAATTTCACAGCTCAGCTACTGTAGAGCGATGTGCAGTGCATTGGTTGTCTTGGTTGCCAGGTGGCATGCCTAGGTAGTCGCAAAATGTGGGAGGATAGCATACCTGAACCACTGGCAGCCCTTGAAACATCTCATCTTCACCCTGCGAGCCTGTGTCACTAATTAGCAGGTCCATTGTCTGCGGACTAACAGTAAAACAACAAGTCAAAGGCTCTCCTCTCTCTAGTCCAAGGAGACTCGAGGACGCCGGCGCCTACCAAACGAGACAACCAAGGTAACCCCCCTGCAAAAATATGTCGACAAGGAACGGAAAGAAAAAGCGAAGTAGGAGATAGTTCTTCTGTGTCGCCATCTAGACATCTGTCTGTCCTCGCTAGATACAAATAGCATGCGCACGACATATCATGTTTTGCCATATTCTGACAGGTAACCATGTTGAAAGGTTCATAAACGTCGTTCCTCATAATATCCTTATCTGTTTTGTTCCATGCCTCAGGGGTATCATGTTGAAATGAGATACTTTTTGTTTCTTTTTTTGCCAAAAACGCTGGTTGCTCTAATCACCCTGCTCATCGTATATGTACGCAAGGGGATGGAACGTTTCTGAAAAAGTGCAACTCCAAAAAAAAACACCAGGGTCCGTTGAAAAAGGCGGTAGTTGTGACCGCTGCTGCTCAGTTCGATAAGGCAACCCCATTCGTCTGGAACGGAACCTTCTGACCATCGCCGTTTGTAATGCTTTTCTCCACTTCAGAAACCGGTGCATCGCCTTTGAGAACGTCTCTGGTGCCATTGCCATTGGTGGTCGCTTGCGACGACTCCGTAGCAGGTGAATCCTCAAAGACAACGTCGAGATCTTGCACCTCGAGCCCGTCAAAGACTCTGAAGATTTCATGCGTTTGATGGAAGTCATTGTTCACAATGTTGACGAGATAGCATTCATCCATCATTTTCTCAATGAGTTTTCGTGGCCCCGATCCCGCCGGATAGCACCTAGACCAGTCTTGTCCTAGTCGGAATGCCTCGTCTTTCCATGCCAAAAATGAGACAGTCTCAACGATGGTGGGTTGCACAATCTCTCTGTTGGGGAAGATGCCCCATGTAACGGCATTGGGGCCCTCATCTTTGGTATTGGTATGAAGTTCTCCCTTTTTGTTGACGGCATAGTAGGTCAAGTTCTTGTTCGCGTTGAGCCTTTCCAGCACCGTGTTGAAGATGGACGGAAAGATCAACAACTCGAGATAAGCCTTCTGATAGACCCAGCCACCAGGGGGACCCCATCCGTAGACTGGGTGAGATGATGGCGCACCGTCAATTGCTGGTTGAGAATTGACGGTCAGTAAGCCTCGTTGATTCAAGTCGGTCAGATCGGGTTTGATCGTGTCAGCCTCTGCTGAAATGCTGCCTTCGCTCCAGGGCAATCTTTCCAGCTCACCCTGAAGGTATCGGACAAAGAGGGCTGTGACATCGCGGAGAGATTTTGGCCTGCCCCACAGTTTCATGTTGGCCTCATTTGTTCCCTTGAGGCCGACGCCATAAGCGTCTAGCTCACCAAAAGCAGGACTTCGACTGTCACCCCATCGGCCGTTGGGGAACTCGTCCCAATCAGCGGTTCTGGCTACATATGAAGTGTTGCGATTCCGCCAGAAGATCGGTCGGACGGTTTCATCTCGTCTGTTGAAACCCAGAGACTGTCGCCATGGCAGAGGTTTCTCCAGCCGCCTTCCAGACTTTTCAGGAGTTAAGGCCAGTTCCTCCAATATCATGCGTGTGGCCTGTGCCAGGTTCATTGTGTAAAAGTGAAGATGATGGATCCCGGCATCAAGGATGCGTCGACACATTTGGGCGACCAAATCCTTTCCTATGTCTCGAACCGCGGCATCATCATTCTTCACCGGTTCCAATGCCTCATACCACTCCGGAGGGACATGGCATTTGGTCCAATTTGCTCTTCTGATGAAGGCGGCGTAGGTGGAGATTGGCATAATCCCCGGAAGGATGGGGACATTGATTCCACGATTGCGGCACTTTTGCACCCAATTCAGAAAGATGTCCACGTCGTAAAACATCTGTGTAACGACAAAAGTTGCTCCAGCGTCAACCTTCTCCTTGAGATGTTCAATTAGCAGATCTACATCGCGGTGATCGTCGCAACCTTCAGGATAACCTGCCACTCCAATGTCGAAGTGGTCTCCATATCTGGCCCGGATATATCTGACCAGATCTTTTGCATAGCGAAACCCTGCATCCTTTGCTTCCCATTTCTCCTGGTCGCGGGGTGGGTCTCCACGGAGGGCCAAAATGTTTGTGCAGCCCGCTTTGTAGGCCAGTCGCAGAGCTTCGTCCACTTGTGTGCGTTCCATATCCGTGCAAGTCAGGTGCATGCAAGTCTCCAATCCATAATGACTCTGTGCCGCATTAACCATTTCGCAAGTCAATTGTGAGTGCCTCCCTCCTGCGCCCCAAGTAATGTCAATGAAAGCCGGGCCGAGATCATGCATGCGGTCCATTCGGTCGTAGAGGTTCTGGACGCCCTGGGCAGTCTTGGGCGGGAAGAATTCGAACGAGAAGGTTGGCTTCCCGTTCTCATGCGCCTGGGCGAGTTTCTGGGATATATGCATTTTGACCGGACTGTCGAGTTTGGAAGGGAGTGGACGATAGTAGTTGTAGTTGTGATTAAGTGGCCGCAAGAAGGATCAGGACAACGACCTGAAGATGAGGGGAGCTGCTGCGAGTGTATGCCGTTTCTCGCTTGTCTGTAGCTATCCCCTGGTTGCTTGTTGGTGTAACTATTTATGTTGGGTTTGTTTTCCTCACTCCGAATCAACCAAAGTAACGCTTGCGAGCCCACCGATCGGCCAGCTGTCGCTGCATTGGGTAGTGATGGTAAACGCAGATCAGAGGGTATTTTTCGGCCTGTCTATAGAACTGAATCACAGTGATAGCATGCAGGAAAAAGAACAATCTTGAGCACTCTCCCAAATAACCAGATCTAATGTAGTGGTGAGGTTCGAGTCTTGTTGCTCTGTTTGTCCCGCGGACACTTTTTGGAGGGGAAATTTTTGGGCGGGAGTCGGTGAACGGAGACATAATACTGCTAGTACGCACTGGGGCAAGATCCTGGGTGCCTGCGAGTAATCGGACTGTCCTTCTGCCCCGAAGACGGCACTAACTGTATCTGCACCACTAAAGTAAATTTGGGGACACGATCTAACGCCAAATCGGCCAATGCATGACGCGCCGAACGACACGCCTCAATATTTGTTCCGAGTCGGAGCCTCACTCACTGTACATTAGAGTTAGTGGGATGGGTTACTAGTGGTTTAAACTCGTCTGTGCTTGGCAGGAACCGAACCTGTGTAATCATTATTGATTTGCTTTCCTAGTACCCAGATGTTTTGTATGCTGTCCGCTGTGTGATACCTCTCATTGCACTTCACGAAAAGCGACACACTCAATTCTACCATCGCACGCCCTACCGGCTACCAACACTTTATACAAATTCTCGCAGCTTTCCCAAACGGCGTGTAGCATCATGGCGACCGACGGCTCATACAAAAAGACGCTACTCCCTCTCCTCTTGAAGGCTTCAGTACTATCCTTTGGTTCATACACACTCAAATCCGGCCGAGTGTCGCCTTACTTCTTCACCTCGTCCCTTCTACACACGTCAGTATTACTGGGTGCGCTGGCGCGGGCCTACGCATCGGTCTTGACATCTCCGCCCTTCTCTCTGCCTTTAGCAACCGAAGAAGCTGGCTCCGAAGCGGACGGGAAATCCTCTCCTCAGTTCGACATTCTCTTCGGCCCGGCGTACAAGGGGATCCCGCTGGCGGCGATTGTGGCGCGGGAATTGGAGTTCAGCGGCAAACATTTTGAGGGTGTTTCATATTCCTTCAACCGAAAGGAAGCCAAGGACCATGGAGAAGGTGGCATCATAGTGGGAGCGCCGCTGAAAGGGAAACGAGTCGTGGTCATCGACGATGTCATGACCGCAGGAACTGCTCTACGGGAAGCCATTTCGATCATCAAGGCCCAAGGCGGGATTGTGGTCGGAGTGGTGCTCCTGTTGACACGACAAGAGCGCGTCAGCGAGACCGAGCCAAGAAGTGCCATGAAGGTTGCAGAGGACGAACTCGGCATTCCTGTGAGAGCAGTGCTGAAGTTTGAGGATCTGATCGAGGCAATTGAGGCCGGTCAAATCGAAGGTGCTGGCCCAGAACAATTGGAGCAGATGAAGGTCTATCGTGAGAAATACGGGAGCAAAGATTGATTACAGACAATTATTTACCCTGACTATTTGGCTACGAGGCGAGGCTTGCCCCCGAAAGATCGTGCGACAAGGTGTGTGCACTTCCGTCGTCGTCAAATGCCATGGAGATATTACGTGTCAACCGTACGCATATGCATCTCAAGGGGCGAATTGGTGTTCACGATAAAACGACCACACGGACTGAGCGGGCCGGACTTCCCATTATGGCACGGCATGAAAGATGGTTACGTACGATTCTCGGCCGCCGACGCTGGCCTCTGGAATGAGAACCACCAACATATCTCGATGTGATACATCAAGGAGGCTAAACTCATCATCTTGCTTCTTTTAGGTCAGAGGTCTCTGGTCTTGCTCACACGTTGACTCTGTCTCACAACCACGGTTGTAGTGCAGTTTGTGGATCAGGAGGCGGAACAAATTACGCACCAAACCTGGCCTATGTTCGACCACCTCGAGGAAGTCATCTGGTCAAACATGAGACGAGCGTAGACACTGTAGAGTCCATCTAAAGCGACCACAGAAGCAGAACGTGGTTGACATCAAGTCGGTTGGCATTGCATCAAAAACTCCCCCATCCTTCCGTAAAGGGAATTGGAAGTATCCATGCGGGTAGAATCTGGCAGAGATGTACTACTAGCAGTGATTAATGGCTGCAACTCCAGCCATGGCTCTTGGAACCATCCTTTTGGAAGAGATTGGCAGACACACAGACGGACAGATAAACAGCCACCTAAAGTACTGTAACTCCCATTGCTCAGCTCTCATGAAGTGTCACTGTAATAAGCGCCGTGCCGAGCTGACAGGAGCTCCTTGATGGGCTGTATGGCCCTCCTCAGCTTGAGAGATCACAAGCAAGACTTCTACTTGCCCTTTCGCCGTTTGTCTGTTTGTTGCTTCCCTCTCCTCCCCTTTCCTTTCCATTTCTAGACCTCAGCTTGACGTCAAGCCTCGTTCTTCCGGCCTTTTCCAAGTTCGTCTAATTCCAAGTTCGTATAAAACTCCTCTAGTGACCGGTTCACAACAGGAAATGAAAGGAACAAAAACGTCCCAGTTTGAGTCCATAAGAAAATACATATAAATCACCACCTGTGGTGGGACAGCCAGTCATATCAGTGCCATAAAGCGTAACCATAACCATAACCATAAGCATTCGTGATATAACATAGCAAATCAAACTAAACAGAACAAATAGGACGATTTTTGACATAAGATCGGCGAGGTCATGGGCGACACAATGGAGAGGCCTGTCTATCCGAGAAGCAAACCATTGTTGTGTCGGTCCATGGCCAGAAAATTTTTGTATGGTGCTGGGATCGATCAAGGCCCGAAAGTCTGCCAGCAGCTGATCGGGTCCATTCCTTTTTGGCACAAAGGAGAGATAGATGACCGGTGTGTCCTGTGTCCCTTGACACACGTCGGCTATGTTCCGTCTGTTGACCAATCCGCTTTTTATAAGAAAGTCGCTCAAAGCGTGCCCATGCCACCAGATTTGGACGCGTTGTAGCGCAGATCAGGCCCGTTGAAGGAATCGTTGCACAAAGATTCGAAGTCGTCAAGATCCAACGCGAGGTCGAGGTCAGGGTCTACCTCAAGGTCGACAGCAACACCAATATAGTTAGAGGCTTCGGCCTTGTTTTGCAGGCCTGCAGGATTCTGGTGTATACCTTCAACCGGGTTTGACGATTTTTGGTGAGGATAAGCTGCCCTTTCGGGTTCTGGAAGCCTATCGTAAGATGGATCGGCTGAAGAAGGGGACAGAGGAACAGCAACGGAAGATGGCTTGAGAGGTGATGAGGAAGTGGCGGCGGCGGTTTTCGTCACAAAAGGGTCGCATCCGAACTCGGACTCGGAGTCAGATTCCAGCTCAGGCTCCGACTCGGACGAAATGTAGAAGGTTGGTGAGGAGGTTGAGGCCGAAACGGAGACGGAGGAAGGAAGTTGTTGGGAGGAAGAAGAAATCGACGCACGGTTGTGGTCGAGAATTGTGAGTTTTGCAGCCATTGAACCCAAAGTCGTAGAATCAGCCCGTTTCAACCCGACATCTACATCTGCAGCGTTTTCGGCTGGTTCAGTTTCAAGTTGGACATGATCATCAGCACCAAAGTCAGCGTGGCAATCGTCCTGGTTTCCCTCATCGTGATCATCATCATCATCGTCATCGTTATCCTTGTCGTCACTATCATTTGTTGCCAGCCCATTCTGACCCCGTGCTGGGCTGGCTTGGATCGCAGGCAGAGTCGCAAACCCGGCCACAGGTAAGTCGGAGGCCCGTCGACTACCGTCTGGTGTCGCCGTTCTACGCCTACTCGGAGGCTTGAGTGAATGTGAGCGGAGAGAGGCCAATGATGTCTGTGGCATTGAGGCAGAAGATTGCCAGGATTTGGAGCGAGAATTTTTCGACTGGCGCTGACTGGCTGATCGTAATCCGCTCTCAACGGACATGGAAGAAGTCAAGGACCGAGTCTGTTTCCTAGACCGAGGATTCTGTATTGAAGCACTAGAAAATAATGGGGGTGTTGGAGGGGTACGGGCCTCAATGGCATGTAGATACGTCAGGCGCATCTCGTCGACGATTTTGCGCAACTCGTCTCTGCTGGTTGGAGCGGCGGGGTCTTCGGCCAAGCTCGTTCTTGTGGTAAACGAAGACGAGGTGCCAGTAGATGAAAGAGCCGAGTGCCGTTGGGTCGACGAGCGTTCAGAATGGTCATCAAGGTACCCGTGCTCAAAATGGGGCAATGGCATTATGTTTGCAATTCCCACCCCTGGACGAGGGGATGCAAAAGCAGATGCAGACGCAGATCCAGCTCCAACTTGCGGCGAAAGCGCGTTTTGGAAGGACTGCGTCGAAGAAGAATAGCTGGTTTTTCTGCTCACTGAGGACACACACCTGTCACTCTTAATTTCCGGCAATGGCTTGTTCAAATAATCCTGGCTGACATGGGCAATGTTCCGGTTCACCCCTGCTTGACCGTAGATAGAAGCAAGTCGGCCATATTCAGCTCTCCAGAGAGCTTGTACGGCCGGCTGGCGCTCTTCCTGGTGCTCGGGGAAGGAGCTCGTGGATGCCATGTGTCGAGGATAGAATTGAGGGGAAAGCGTGGAAATGCCGAGTCCGGTTGTGGAACGATTCGAACCACATGACGGGTTCTCATATAAATGGTCGTTGCCAAAAAGTTGTGCGGAACTCGACGAGGCGCCGAAGACAGCGTCATCACTCATGGCAGAGGGAGGTTCCCATTGTGGACTTGCAGGGCCAGGATTGGTGCGCGAAGCCGCACTCGGGGCAGATGAGAAGGAGTGCGAAGCCACGGTTTTGACAGGCAATGTTCTGGGCCGAGCTGTTGTGGCCTGGGATATCCTTCGATCCTTTCCGCCCAGGATGTAGTCGCCCTGGCGGATATCGTCCAAGGTGCGCTCGTAGTCCTGCTGCGTGACGAGGAGTTCCCCCGAACTCAGACGTCGGTTGGTTTGGAGCTTGACGGGCCCATTACCTCGTTGCGGCCTGTCACAGAGTTGAGGCGGCTTTCCTGGTACAGTAGAATCGTATGAGAGTGAGCGAACCCCAGTGGACGTTACGGTCGCCTCAGGTCTGGCTTTGACAGTAGCAGTTTTGCCCAGGGCATGGTGGATGAATACAGGTAGCTTGCCTTGAGCGGGAGCTGTAGTGTAAGGCACACTATGCAGATCTAGCTCGGCGGCAGCGGTTCTATCCTCCGCCGACGGCCTCTTCGGGGAAAGAAGCTTGCGCAGACGAGATTCCATGTTTCTGTTTCGACCCTGGAGTACACACGAAAGAAAGGGACCTTCCTCTGCGCATTGACGCGAGCGGTTCTTTGCGCGCACGGGCGGATATCCCGTTGGCAAGCGGGAACGTCAAATGGGATTTTGACGTGTTTAAGTAGGATGTTAGGTCGCACTGGAAAACTGGCATAGATGATGCGTCTGAGTTGGACGCGGTCTGCAAACGAGAGTGGGTGTGTCGAAGTCTGGTCAAGAAAAGGAAAGACGCGTCCGGCATGCGAAAAGAGAAGGAAATCCCAGTACTGACAAGGGCGCAAAAGCTGTAACAAGAGGCAGCCAAATCTCTCGTGATTTGAATGTGGGCAAGGATGATGCTAGAAGTTGTGCAAAAAGAGGCGTTTTGCGTCGGACAAATGACAAGGAATAGTCTGTAGGCCCGGCAGGGATCCACGACCCACTGAAGTGTCACGACCAGGGCCGGAGATGCCTCGAAAGCCGGTGGTTGGCCCCGGAGGTTGGTCCACGGCAGTCCTGGGGCAGTTGGGGAGACTGTCATACCGTAGTTCAAAGTTACGGGCTGAATCCTCGATCCCTTGAGTGGTCAGCTAGGCTCAAAAGTCCACGAAGCTACCGCAAACAGACGGCGTGCGGAGGAGACGATTGCGGCATCCTAGGCGATGGAAAGGCGTGCTGGGTGTGTCTTGTTTACCTAAAATCCCGTAAACAAGGAATTGGCCACAACAAACACCAACAGCCACGAGGTGACTAGCCTCAACGCGTGTGTCGTGTTCGAATGATGAACAACTAGTACGATAGCATCCACAGGGTCTCTGCCCGTACTGGGCCATGTAGCAGGACCTCATATAAGATGTATAGATAAACGTGTCCCTGTCATACCCATCATCAGTCGAGTGGCAGCTGGATCGCTCGGTGGACAATGCTGCGCGGACCAGCTGCCAAAGGACACACAATGCCTGAGACAGCCTGAGCACGGTGCAGACAGCCCCTGTGGGTTCTGTTGTCTCGCTTCTTTCGACGATCCGGTCCCAGGATTCGGGTAACTGACGTGATGCCGGATCAACGACGCTACAGCATAACGCAGTATAGCCTGTCCACAACAGCCGAGACAGCAACGGTTCGAATTTAGGCGAGCGCTGGCGGATCAAGACCAGACTGGCCAGGGCCGCATTGGAAGCAGGGCTGAAAAGAGGCTGTTCAGTCCATGTCGAGGGAGGACACCCTAGGCTCATGGTGGTTAGAGATCCTACCTAGGGTTCCCCTGACGCCAATGTGCCCTGCCAGGATCGTTCCCAACTGCCGAAACACAATGTCCCAACGGCCGGGCAGGCGGAAAAAGGATCAGTTGTCATTGAATGTACATGATAGTTGGGTCGATTTTCTTCTGGTCTTACTGCTAGCAGCAACAAGGGTTGATTTGTAAAGAGTAGGTGTTGCTGGCTATAGGTGGCAACGAGCTTGTGCGGTGTAGCGCTCGTGGCATGTCAATTTCGAGCCGGCGCCAAACACTTGATTTACTGGCCATGTCCTTTCTCGAGGTGTTGCCTTTCTCAATAATGGCATGAACATTGTTGTCGGTCCTCCCTGCGAGTTAGATATTCCAAAAACCATTCCGCGGGCGTCCTTATGGAAATTCAGATAGTTCCAGTAATTCTGCTATTGAAGCCCTCCTAAATTGGCGGTCAAGCTTCGTAGTGCAACAGGTTTGGTCAGAGACGTGTCGCTTCCCTACATCTTGAGGTTGGACTACATATGGTGGCCTTGTTGTCAACCAACCCGTGCGAGGACCAGCCCGTGAATTGGCGTCTGTCTCAGAGTCGTCAAGATTGCTGGGATATGGTCGCCTAAATAACAAGCGCTGAGTAGTCGAGCTATAGCCAGCTTCTTGCTCCTTTCGATGTTACGCATGGAAAAGCTGTTGGAAAGGATCGACCGCTGACCTCAACGCGGCTGAAGGGTCAAACGTAGATGAGAATAAGGCCGGCACGCATGTCGTAGAGCAAGCCATCTTCGGCACGGCCCATTGTGTCCCTTCATGGCTGACACATGGCTGCTTGGCTAGTGACCATGCATGATTGTGTCTTGACTCGCAAATGCCTTCTTCTGCCCAGTCTGGGACGGCTCACACACATAGCTGGGTTGGAAGATGCAAGACCCTGTCTCACTTCAACGCCATATTATTCCAAAAAGACGGATTCCAAACTTGACCAGCTCGATCGGAAACGGGATGTTCAGCCGTGATTGAGTCATAATTCTGCATCCCCTTTCTAAGCAGCACGGAGTGCTTTTTATAGAGCAGACCTTGCCCTGCTGGTCACTATCACCTTTTTCGCAGATTTGTAAAGACGCTTGATGTTGTAGATGAAGTTTTACGTGAGGACAGCCTGCTCTACCATCATGACGCGGCCGAGATCCAGCTCTTCCTCCTTGTGGCCAACAGCAATGTGAGATGCTCTCACCTCAGCGCAGGCTTGACACCTGCACGGGTTGTGCTGGCTGTCAAGGCTGTTTGCCAGCTTCGATCCGCCGTTGGTCAGAGAAACAGAGCAAGCAGTCACACCGTCAGCCACAAAGGACACGTTCGATGGAGAGCGAAGTACGCAGTTGGTGGCACTCGGTGCAATGCTAGCAAAAAAGATAAGTGACCTGTCAGTACAGCAAAACCTACCAAAAACGAGTAGAATGGCGCTTGAAGCTTGACTCCCTCCCTCCCGCCTCTTTCAAGCAAACAGTGCCCAGCAGCGCTGGCACCGAGGAGCATCCCACCACCTCCAAGACGGCGTGCATTGCAGCCCTGTATACCATTCGAAGATGCGGAATTGCCACAAGGCCCAATCTCACAAACCCCAACGACAGCTGCAACATGAGGATGCCCGGGGCTATCGAATATTGTCCTTCAGGGAAGTTGACTTGCACCGTTCGATACGGCAGGTGGTCATTGCTGGTGAGCAGAACGGTAGCACCGAAAAAGGACAGCCATGGTCGATTAGACGAGTTACATCGACTGCCAGTGCATGAAATATTGAGCGGAGAGTGGCGCCAGCATTGGACCGTGGTAGTAGCAGTCACAGCTACTAATAAGAAAAGGAGGGTGAGTGGAGGATCGACTGGGTTTGGTTGACACTGAGGATGTAACTCTGCTGTGCAGGCAAAATGATCTTCACCAGTAGCAGCTGTAGTAGTATCGGCCTTGCAACTCTACCGTGACACTCGCCCACCGCAGTACAACACTGTGCTATATAGGATGCTACTCATGGTACAGTACCTACGATACTACTAGGAATGTTCTGCTGCTACCTCGTGTCGCCCCTGTGGTCGGTAGTTGTGTTGTTGCTGCACAATTGTACAATTAATGGTACGAGTGGTTGAGTAGCAGGCTGCGCTGCGTTTCCTTCTCCCGCAGCCACGACCATCTCCATCCATCCACTCCTGCTATACACGACACACGACATCGACCATACCAACTCTCCCCCGTCTTCCGCGTCGTCTGTCTCGTCTCAACGGCTTCCCTACTACTCTCTGCCACCACCGGCTGCCACCGTAGTCCTTCGAACCGACGCAGCAACCAGACCGCAACAACCCTCTGCCGAAATTCTACCACTCTCGCATCCATTATCCAGACACCACACGTGCCGGCCTTCGTCGTCTTTGCTCACTCCTTCTATCGTTGCAGTCAACAAAATTGCGTTCTTCTGATACCTCAGTGTCTCCAGCAGTCACTGTATTGTTGACGGTATCTCCATAGGGATGCTGTGGTGCTACTACTACGACCTCTGTCACCTCTGCCCGCTTGCTAGTCCTGACTCACTTCTTTGAGCCATTGACTGCCATGTCACAGCAGTTCTTCTGCTGCGTTTCCTGCTCGTAGCACAGCATGTCCCTTAGGTCTCCTGGAACAAACAAGACAACATCCCAGTGCATCATGCTATCGGGGATTGCCCTTTCTGTCCTCATCGACTAGACCGTCTATACGATCCTTGGGCGAGCGAACGAACACCTTTACGGCGCCTGCGCCCATCCTCCATAGCCATGACTCTCCTCGACTTCTTCCGCAGCATTCTGCGCCGTCTGGCCGCCATGCTCTTCTTTCCTTCTAGCCTCAAGTCGATGGATGTCTCCCCGAAGACGTGCGATACTGAGGTGACGGTGGTGGAGGCTACAGAGGACATTCGGACGTTGGACGATCTTAGGGACGAGATCATGCGGCTGTTCAGATATCCTTGTACTGTGAAGCGGATGCTCTCCATGTCCTCGGCTCTACGTATGCAATATAAGGCCAAACTACGAGACAGTGACGCGTGCATGTTGCCATCTTATTGCCATACTCTTCCCAATGGCCAAGAGAAGGGGACTTACATCTCACTCGATGTCGGCGGTTCCACCTTCAGGGTGGCTCTTGTGGAACTTCGAGGTCGACATGCCAAATCGTCCCCTATGGCCATCAGGCGGATGAGCACGTACAAGATTGACGAACAGATTCGCCGACTGCCGTCGGCAAGGTTCTTCGACTGGATGGCTGGTAGGATACAGGAGATGCTCGAGCAGGAACAAGAGACGCGGCCGTTGGACGAACCGTTGCCGATAGGTCTGGCTTGGAGTTTTCCAATTGAACAAACGAGCCATCGTGGGGGCAAGCTGCAAGGCATGGGCAAGGGCTTCTCGTGCCATGAAGACACAATAGGGATGGAGTTGGGCACACTGGTTGAGAGCGCGTGTGCTAAGAGACAGTTGAATGTTCGGGTCGAAGCCATTGTGAATGATTCCTCGGCCACACTTTTATCTCAAGCCTACCTTGACCCCGATACTTCGATGGGCTTGATTCTTGGTACAGGGACGAACGCGGCTGCATACCTGCCTACTGCTTGTATGGGGACGTCCAAGTTTGGAATGCGGGAGTCTTCCTGGTTCGACAAAGCCGAGAAGGTCATTATCAACACTGAGCTGTCCATGTTCGGCAAATCTATCCTACCCCAGACTCGGTGGGACCAGTTATTGAACGTACAACATCACATGCCTGACTTTCAGCCTCTCGAATACATGACGACCGGTCGTTACCTTGGTGAGCTGCTACGCTTGATCATTGCTGAGGCCGTGGAGATGGGCGGGTTGTTTCAAGGCATTATGCCCGAACGTCTGACCGAGTCTTATTCCCTAGACACCGAAATTCTGGCCCAGTTGGAGCAGGATCGGTCCAGGAATCTGGAGGACTCCACACTCATCATCCAGAAGACCTTCGGACTCAAAATGATACCGACGGCAGAGGAGGTTGCCTTTCTTCGATCGGTGACCGAGTCCATTTCCTACCGTGCATCAGCTTATATTGCGGTTGCTGTCCATGCACTGTGGGCTTTGCAGCGGGACCCCGAGATTAATCCAGCGGGTCAAAAGGAAAGTTCCAAAACATCGATCGCCTGCAATGGAAGCGTCATCCTCAAATACCCCGGCTTCAAGGACCGATGCCAGGGGTTTCTCCAACGAATGATCAAGGCCGGCTCTCTCACGCAAAGGGTGTTTGCTTCACACAAGATCGCCCTACAGCCCACAGTCGAGGCTGCCGTTTTCGGTGCCGCCGTGGCTGTGGCGTTGGCGAATATCCCTTGACCTTGAGATCGGGCTGTTCGCAATTTCCACCCTCCATATCTCGAGAGACACTCGGGCAAGTTTGACTGACAGAACTGGTCCCATTGCACCGATGATCACGGAGAAAGTTCGGGTCGATTTCAGCGCAAGGCTTCATGCAACCGTGCCAACACGTGTGGCAATCTCGCCAGCACAAGGAGGCATATGGTCGCCTCCAGAAAGCTTTGAAGGAAGCCCATTAACCCTACAATTTGCTGCCATGTAGAAGATGGCATTGGGCTCCTGATGGGAATGCCGGATTGCGGAAGATAATGAGGTCAAGTTCCGTCTACATCTGGTTATCAAGTTTCACGTCTCGCGAAGACATGTCAGCAATGCCGCAGCCAGCGTGAAAAGATACTCGGCACTGGCAGCTATCATCATCAAGCTGGTGTTGCCGCACAACCTCTCCGGCAGGCCGCAACATGTTCGGTGTTGAACACCGCGGACTTCTTTACGGACGGCGACTGGTACTGAGTTATTCAACCAGTATTTGGACTATAATATCACGCGACAATCTTGCTCGGTTAGGGTATGCGTGAGAGGGCAATGCGATCACTCGTGGGGATCGCTAGCCACCTTCTGTTGCTTAAAAGGATAGCATGGAGTTAGAGCGGGTCTGGAAGGCGCTTTGAATGAAGCTTCAAATTCATTTATGTTAGAAGCAGATAGATATCATATATTCATGCTAAAGATTCTATTGTCTCATCCAAGGACGCCGTGTTGCGAGACGCGTACTGTACAGAATACATGTACATGTCGAAAGGATCATCTGCCGGGTTTGCTGCCTGAACATAGACCTACTGCTAACCTGAAACCAATCCTGTCATAGCTTTTTGTGTTACAATAATGGGAAGCGAAGCGAGCAGCAAGCGACCACGGCGACCGCATGACCGTACGGTGTCTACCTAGGTAGGTATTAGTTGATCGGTGTGTCGGTGCTGGTGTTCAAGTTTGATGTTGTTGTTGTTGTTGGAGTTCACTACCTGGTACTCTCGTCCAACTTGCCGCATCTCGGAAACGATCCCGAACATGATGTTCCGAACTCGAAGCTCAAGCTGTCAGGTACCGACCGATCCACTGCCCGAGGGCACCCGCTCACCGTGACTGGGTGGGCGGCCGGCATTTCACCCGCACTTGAACCCGGACGATCCCACTCGACATGCCACCTCTATAATAATGATATGAACCCTTCAACCATAGCAGTATCCTGCAGTTGCCCAGCTCTGCCCGAAGGGAACGTCGGGGATGACCCATTGAAAACCTTACATCGGGAATAGACAAGAGGAGGAGAGAGGGCCTATTTCTTTTCTTCCGTCTCTATCGACCGACCTCGACATCGACATCAACAGTCATGGCGGCCATCAAAAACAACTGTCGCAAGGTCATCTGCATTGGCCGGAACTATGCGTATGTCTATACTATGGCTATGCTATGCTATGCCATGCTATGCCTCTGCCTCCGTTAGCCTTTTTGTCTGTTTTGTTTCCTGTCGATAACACGCCTCTGCGGTGGTTGATGCGATTCATTTGTTGCCGACTTGTCTCTGGCATTGCATTGCCTGATTGACACAACAGCACCGCCAGTACCAGCAGCAGCGGCGCAAGACAAATCATCCAAATCCAATGCGATATTATATTACTATTGTATACCCATGCTGACCACCTTCTTTCTCGTAGCGACCACATCACCGAACTCTCATCCGCCCGCCCCTCCCAACCCTTCTTCTTCCTCAAACCGCCCTCCTCAATCCTTCTTCCCGACAAAGGACCCATCATCCGCCCCCGCGGGACGACCGTCCACCACGAAGTCGAGCTGGGCCTCGTGATCGGCGAAACCCTCCCCGGCAAACCTCTCAAGAATCTTTCGGAATCCGATCCCAAGATCTTAGACTACATCCGATGCTACTTTCTGGGCATTGATCTGACGGCGCGCAATGTCCAAGACGAAGCTAAGCGCAAGGGACTTCCCTGGACGATTGCGAAAGGGTTCGACACTTTCCTGCCCATCAGCCATGAAATCCCATTCGATCGGCTGCCCGACCCGCATAACGTGCTGTTGTGGTTGAGCGTCAATGGCAAGATGAGACAGCGCGACAATACGAATCTGATGTTGTTCCAGATCCCCCGGATTTTGAGTGATATTTCAAAAGTCATGACGTTGGAGGAAGGAGATGTCATTTTGACGGGAACGCCGAAGGGAGTGGGACCCCTGAAGGGTGGTGATGTTGTTAAGTGTGGGTTGGAGGCGGATGGGTTGGAAGTTGTTGAGGCGGATATTGAGGTCGAGGTCGTGGATGATACGAGTGAGGGCGGGTATGTGTTTAAGGAGACTTGAACGGACCAATTACCAGTACTCCAGATGAGATGGGAAAAGAAGAAGAGAGAGCCGGCAATACTGCAGGGGTCAGAGCTGGCTGACCGACTGATCTGCCGTTGCCATCTGTTCTACATTGAAGAAGGAGAACACCTGGTGAGTAGGAAGAATTGGTTCATTCGTCGGCCGCCCGACGTTGTGAAAAGTGGCCATGCCACTGGTTATATGAATCTTCCGTTCTGTTCCTGTCACAATGGTTGCATACTCCTGCATGCCTGATCCATTACCCATCCATAAGACCATGTACAGTATCTACCAAGGTACTACCTGGCTAGGGTCAATGTGTTTACTTTCCCCGTCACTGGGAGAGCACCCACCAATAAAAGTCCATACCATACTATGATACACTCTACTATATCTTTGCTCATTTAGGTATGCTCAAATCATCAGATCAGACCAAACCCAGATGAGGCCATGCAGGGGTTACAGAGCCCCACCGTACCACCAGGGTTTAATCTTGCCCCTTTTGTACCAGCAGACCCTACCAGGCTGGGCTGGCGTACCTCCGCCCCTCTGGAAACGGTGCAATTTGTCGTCATCATCACCAGCAGGTTTGGTTTTGTATCGTCGTTTCAGTCCTCGCTTGTCGTTGACAATATAGGTATTTCAGGAGGTGGCGGCAGTGGGAGATGGCGTCTCGGTCGTCTATACAGGTATTTCTTGCCTGTGCGCCTCACCTTAGCCGCCGGACTGAAGTGCTTGGACGTCATCTCTAGGAGTCGTTGACCTTCGTCGTGGCTGCTGTCCCCTGCCAGTGCTGCCATATCGTGAAATGCCCTCTTGTGCGGCACGAGTTGCGGTAAGACTGCACGGTTTTCTGCCAACTTTGAGGCCACAGTGGTTGGCTTTATCGACCATAGTGGAGGTTGAGGTTGTTGATCCATGATCGGTGGTGATGTCGAAGAACCGGGGTCGGGATCTTCTCTTCTGTATGCCATTGTCGATATGAATGTTGACTTCTTTCTATGGCGTGGTGTTGGTTGATTCATTTCTCTATCGTCGTCGTGGTCCTGGTCCTGGGCATGCTCCTGGACGGCAGTAGTAGGTATAGGTGGCTTCCGGGCGACCTTTCCTGCAGGATGATCCTTGTCCCATACCGCCGAACGCAGCAGGAAGTAGGGTTTCTTGTCTCGGGACGCAGGGCTGTTCTGTCGGGCCGTTTGTTGTTCTTGTTTCTTCAACACAGTCTGGTCGACTTCACGGCTTTGGTCTGATCTAACAGTCGGGCGCAACTGGATTTTCACTTTCGTGCTTCCCAGGTCCTGTGACGCATCAGCGGGGGCTATTTTTAGTCTTGACCTCGTCTTCTGGAATTGCACCTGCGTCGGCTGCTGCGGTTGGCTTTGGCGCACGCTCCCCTTGTCGACCAGACGTTGGCCCCGACGCGATCCAGCAGAAAAAGGCACAGCTTGATAGCCATCCGCAATCTGGGGCCAGTGAGATTGTTTATCCGTTTCATTAACCTTGGACTCGGATTTCCCCAGCGTACCAAGAGCCGCGGTGAAATTTGTGGGTGGTTGAAGAACGCCAGCCTCATTGGGATCATCTCCCATTGATAGATCGTCATCAGAAGCAATGCCGGCACTGGTGTAAAGTTGAGAACACAGTTTCGCGAACAAGGTAACATTGTTCCAAAGCCATCCCTTCTCGTCGAGGAACCGCTCGCATTGCTTCTTTTGCACGGTGTGGAATATGCCGTTGACGAAGTTCCGCACAATTGCCTCTTCGAAGGATCGTGGGAGAGATTGAATCAGGCATAACCCCTGAGAGTAGTAGCCGTCCCAGTCGTCATACCTCCTTTGCTGAAGGAGATTGACTCGGACTAGTTGGGGGGCCTGAACATCTGACTGTGGTAGAAGTTGCAGTGTGTTTGTGTCCCCGTCGCTGCAGTCTCTTCGGACAGCGTAGCTGAAGGAGATAGCATTTTCATCAAGATCGAGGTCTTCGGGCAATGTAGTCTCTCTGCGACGCTCATGGTTCTGTTGAGGGACCTGCTGACAAGCAGGTGACTGAACTCGCTCATGGATTATGTGTTTCCTATTCCTGCCTTGGTGCCGTTGGGCCTGAGAGTCTCGTACTTGTGTGTCATCCTGCCCTGTTTGTGAAGGTAAGCCCAAGGTCAATCTAATCTGAAAATCTCACTTCAGTGCTTACCTGGCAGAGGAGATGATTGACGCTGCTGCTGCGGCTGCTCAAAGCTGTCTGGAACACGGCTGACAGAAGACAACAACCGCTCTGCAGCAACTGGTGGATGTCTCGAGAGGCCATCTACTCGAAGTACCAGCGCCTCAAAGCTGGAGGTGTCGACTTTTCCAGCTAGGGTCTGTTGCAGCGTTTCAAGGGACGCCGATACTTCTTCTTGCTGCCTCTGCTGGATGTCAAGTTTACCTTGACAGTCGACCTTCAGAGCATTCGTCTCTTTCTGAAGATCTTCCCACTGCTTCAGGGCACGTTCGCCGAACTGGGCCTGCGCAGTCTTGAGATGTGAAATCTCGCTCTGTAACATTGCCCTGCATTCTTTCTGGGACGCCTCGAGTTCTCTGAGCTGGCTGGACAAGCGTGATTGCTGGTCTTCAAACAAGCAGCGTGTCTTGTCAGAGGCATGCTCGATTGCTTCAACGGCCGACCTGGCATCTTTGACCTCCTCGCGTAAAACATCGATTTCTTTGCGACAACTCTTCAACTCCTCATGTAGAAACAGGTTCTCGCGGCGGATTTGGTGTGCTTTGAGCAAGTCAATGGCATAGCTGATGGTGGATCTTCGGTCAGAGAGCATATCTCTACGCTATGGGGAGCAAGGTCGAGGGGAAACGTTCCTGGCAAAGGGGCTTGGAAGAGCGCAGCGCACGCTGGGAATCAAGACGACGATGTCCGAATGGACTCAAGTATTTCTGCGAGAAACGGCAACCATCACCGTCAAAGAGAGAAGAAAATGAAGTGGAGTTGAGACGTCGTTTCACTGGGTTTGGGCTCCGAACAAACACCCCTGCGAGAACTGCCATTCATGTCAGATCTTACACAAGCACAAGCAAGCAAAAACAGCAACTGCACGAACGACGTTTTTGGTTTGAATCAGTTTCTCTACCTGTCTATGGCAAGAAGCAGTTGGTCCTCATCCCTCATAACACGTGAGAAGCTTTGAATTCTTTGTGCAGTCTGAGAGAATGATAGCCAACGATTGCTAGCTAGCATTAAAAAGCAATGACGCCCGCGAACTCTGCCACATCCCGACGACCCATGGGTCATCAATGTGGTATCAGCGCGCTCGTTTGCTCATGAAAGAGACCTGGTAACAAGAGTGAAAATACATGACTTTTCCCGTGGCGACAGCTCTGAGCCAAGCAGTCAGGACACAGGCTTCATCCCACTTTTCTCAGGCGGCCACATCATGTCGTAGCAACCAACGCCATCCACATGCCGGTTGAAACAACGAAAGATCCGATGTTTGAGTGTGTTGACTCCTTAGATGAGATCTGTGATTTGTTAGTATGAGTTTTCACAGTTTTAACTGGACAGGAAGTATGCTTACCAGCAACGTTCATTGGCATCTCTTCGATTTGAGTGCTGTAGAACTGCTCGATTTCTCTCATCATGCGGACGTCGTCGGCGGTAACGAAGTTGATCGCAACACCCTTTCGACCGAAACGACCGCCACGACCGATACGATGGATGTAGTTCTCACGGTTGGCCGGGAGATCGTAGTTGATGACCAAGGAAACCTGTTGGACATCGATACCACGGGCAAGCAAGTCAGTGGCGATCAGGACACGAGAAGAACCAGATCGGAACTCCTTCATGATAACATCACGCTGAGCCTGCTCCATGTCACCGTGCATGGCCGAAACGGTGAAGTCACGAGCGGTGAGCTTGTCGGTGAGCCAGTCAACCTTTCTTCGGGTGTTGCAGAAGATGACGGCTTGTGTGATGGTGACGGTCTCGTAGAGATCGGAGAGGGTGTCGAGCTTCCATTCCTCCTTCTCGACGGCAATGTAGAATTGCTTGATACCTTCGAGGGTCAACTCGGCCTTCTTGACGAGAATGCGGACAGGGTCGCGCATGAACTTGGTGGTGACCTCGAGGACATCTTGAGGCATGGTAGCCGAAAGCAGGACGACCTGGGTCGATTGGGGAAGAAGCTGGAAGATATCGTAGATCTGCTCGGTGAAACCGCGGGAAAGCATCTCATCGGCCTCGTCCAAGATGAACATCTTGATGTTGTCGGTCTTGAGAACACGACGTTGAATCATGTCCTGAACACGTCCAGGGGTTCCGACAACGACTTGGGGTCCCTCTTGGAGAGCCTTCATGTCCTCCCGAACGTTGGTGCCGCCAATGCATGCGTGGCATTCGACGTTCATGAAATCGCCGATGGCGACCACAACCTTCTGGATCTGTTGAGCAAGCTCACGGGTTGGGGCGAGGATAAGCGCTTGGCACGCCTTGAGGTTCGGGTCGATCTTCTGAAGAGCAGAGATGGAGAAGGTCGCGGTCTTGCCGGTACCAGACTGGGCTTGAGCAATCACATCGTTGCCTGCGCAGAAATGTTAGTTAAAGTTGAAGATTGTGCATTTGGGAAAACTGTACCTTTGATGACGGGCATGATAGCGCGCTGCTGAATGGCAGATGGACGTTCGAAACCGTAGGCATAAACACCTGTGGAATTGTCAGATCAAGCTTTTTTTTGGACGGATCTTGCAGTTGCAGCACATACCTCGCAGAAGCTCAGGCTTCAGGTTCATCGCGTCGAAGGAGTCAATGACTTCATCGTAGTTGGACTCGATTTGTCCTGTTTGTGCACGTAAAGTTAGCAAATTTGTCGATCTTGGTCAGGCTGCGCATCGATCTGCCGCGCCATCGACATGATCGCAGCTGCAGCGGTCGAAAAGAGTCAAGACATACCTTCTGGGACTTCCTCAAGACCTTTGTCCGCCATGATTGCGATAGAAGAACTTGGGATCACAGGCGACTTCGCCGGTGATGTTGTTAGAGCGTGAAGTTGAAAGTGGCGTGAGAATGACTTAGGCGCTTCCTGTGCGTCTAAGCCTGCTGAATACTAGGTTTCTTGTTGGGTTCGATACGAAGATTCTCTGCTGTGAGAATCCGAACGAACCAGAGAAGATGTCGCGGGATTCTTATTGTTTTGGAGGTGGTAAGAATGAAGGATCAAAAATTTTGGGCTGCTGAGGGACTGCGGCGAGTACTTGACTTTCGCAGAAGTCTTGGCGCGGCGCTAGAGAAGTTTTGCCGCTTGGAACTTCAAACTTCACTTTTTAGCGACTTTCTCCCCAACTTTTCACTGGCTTTGTAATTCAACGCCACTAACGCCGCATAAAATCCTCTTGATATCGCTCTTTTGATAGTCCAGCCTTGTCCATCTTTTTCCACAGTGGCGCAATTCATTTTGTCTGATGTCCAACCTGACGTTCTCTACTCGGTGATTATCCAACCAATTGCTTGTTCTAGACGCCTCTCGGAAGCTCTCCTCCAGATCAAGTGAGCCTTGAGTCCGGTCACGTGTCCCAGCCTCGTTCACTTTCGGTCGCTTTCCAGACTTGTTTCTTATTATGTATCGGTTAGATGATCGCAACCACAACCACCCAGACCGGTAGACAGCCGGAGATACCGATCTATGCGGAGGGTCCTACCCCGGACCTGCCAACCGAGGGGCAAATCGCCGATGACGAACAAGATCTGTCCGAGACCCCTACAGACCAACACCCTCTAGGGGTCCGCCCATCGGGGAATGCTCTAACATCCCAAGAAAATGTGCAGGCCGCCATGGGCTTGTTCGGCATGCTGCCAGATGCTTTCCTGCTAACACTTTTGGAATTCCTCGACCAGTTAAGCTTGGTCAACCTGGGAAGCACATGTCGCGGTCTGTACGCCTACTGTTCCTTTGATCAGTTATGGAGAGATCTTGCCGTCAATAATATGACTGAGGATTTCTCATGGCGTGGAAGTTGGCGGTCATCCTTGAGACGGCTGCCTTCAGCCAGCCTTGCAAAAGTGGACTGCAGACATCTCTTCTCTGACGCATTGCATCGTCCATTTCTCTGTTCCCAGATCTCCCTCTCACCTTATGTTTCAAATATTCCCTCTCACACCCAGATTCCACGCATGCAGGACTTATCTCTTGCAGAGTTCAACGAGTCATGGTCCGATCGTCCCTTTATCTTAACATCTCCGGTGAAGCAATGGCCGGTATACAAGAAGTGGAACCTACAAACTCTGCTCGAGGAGTATGCAGATGTCCCTTTTCGCGCCGAAGCCGTGGACTGGCCTTTCAGAACCTATGTGGATTACATGAACAGTACGAAAGATGAAAGTCCATTGTACCTTTTCGATCGTGGCTTCGTGGAGAAGATGGGTTTGGAAGTGGGAAAGAACGGAGACTATGAAGCAGCGCAAGCATTCCAAGAGGATTTGTTTCAACTGCTGGGAGAACAGAGACCAGACCACAGGTGGTTAATTATTGGTCCGGAGCGGAGTGGAAGCACGTTCCATAAAGATCCAAATGCGACCAGTGCCTGGAATGCGGTTATCCGGGGCTCGAAATATTGGGTCATGTTTCCTGCTTCTGTGCTCCCGCCTGGCGTCTATATGAGTGAGGACCAGAGCGAAGTTACATCTCCCTTAAGCATTGCGGAGTGGCTGATGTCTTTCCATGCTGAAGCAAGGAGCACACCCGGTTGTTTGGAGGGTATCTGCCGCGAGGGCGAGGTTTTGCATGTGCCATCTGGTTGGTGGCACCTGGTAGTTAACCTCGACCCGGCAATCGCCATAACCCAGAACTTCGTGCCGACGTCTCACGTTGGCGCCACGTACAGGTTCCTCAAACACAAAGCCAATCAAGTCTCCGGTTTCAAGGAGAGCATCACGGACCCTTGTGGGCTCTTCATGGAGCGGCTACACCAGAAGCACCCTGAACTAGCGGCAGCCCTGGAGGACTCTGCCAACAAAAAAAGAAAGTGGGAGGAGGTGGTCTCTAAGGAAGAAACCGGTGGAGAACAATCTGGGTTCAGCTTCGGTTTTGGCGACGACCTTGATGACGAGGAAGTATAGCCGCAATATTGCCGTCTTGGAAAGGTCTCAATGACAAGCGACCGATTTGGTTGATGTGAGATTATCGCCGAAGGTGAGATACCCAATGAAGGCACCAACAGCCACGGCCAGCATGACCCAACCGTTGTAGGTCATGAACAGAAGCCTGTATACTGTCAGTACCGGTCCTTCGGCATAAATGTATCACCCACATGATGAAGAAGCTGTAGAACACCTGTACAGCATACAGGGCTGCCTTGATAATGGTGCCTTGACGTTCTGCCGCTGCCTTGGACTCTCTCCCTACGACGAGCAATGAGTTTGATTCGTTGACTTGTGTGTCTTCGCCTTCACAACCTCAGTCACAGCCGTGATATAGACGCGCAAGGGAGACATACTCGAAGCACTGGTGCTGTACGCAGCCATGCGAGCCTTGTGGATCTGCTCATATCGTCTGCTGATTTCGCGTACGCATTCATAGCCTGCGGTGAGGAGGACGATGGCAAGCAGGGATAAGATAAAAGAGTGCGTGCCCGTTACTCTCCATTGCGGAAAAATAATACATAGATTCTTCGAGGACCATGTGAAGAGCATCTGCTGCAGTTAGCCGACAGCATTGACAGTTCCCTGGGTATAGGTGACTTGCGTTCATGGAGCACTGCCCTTCACCCATGTCCATATCACCATGACCCATGTGTGCGTGGTCCATTGTATTATAGTAGCAGCGCTCGAACGCGGAATCGCAACTGTATAACAATGAGCGTCCACCTTCACGGCCACGTTGAGTCTCGTTGTGCGTTGTAGGTTCAATTGCGGGCGCAGTTTGGGGTTGAACAAGCGCCTACTACTTAAAGATTACCTAGGTAGTAGTACCTCGACGGCCGTGCAAACACAGCAAACATTTCCGCTACTCGGTGACACCAAAACCTCCCACGGAATCCTGGTTGCCTGGAACTTACGCATACCACTCTCACGAGCTCAGCGCTCAGCATGGTCGAAAATGTGCCTCCAGGCACCGGCTCCAAGGCCTCTGCCATTGCTGATCGACCGGGACTTCCGTATTATGAGAAACTCCGGCGCGACTTGCGGGACACGTTACAGAAGAAGCGCCTTCTCGATCGCAACATGGTAAGTTGAGCACGGATTGATAACAACGCCGTCACTCATCGTTTACAGGCTGCGCTTGAAGACCAGATCTACCGTCAAGAGACCGCGTACCTTGAGGAGACATCTATTGCAGGGAACATCGTAAAAGGCTTCGACAACTACATCAAGGCATCTGCAGTCTCGGCTTCAGCCAATTCCGCTGGAGGCACCGTGTCCGGAAGCGCGGTCGGCGGTGGGCTTGGTGCGGGACGACGGAAAGCGGTAGTGAATGATTCCGATCGCATATTCTCGCGCAGCTCAGTGTCCTATTTGAGAGACTCGGATTCCCCTAGCAGCGCCACCAGTACGCCCAACCATGCCGGCACGCCCACAGGTAGTTTCACCACAGAGCGTGGAGGAGACAAGAAGAAAAAGAAGAGTACAGCGGCAAATGATGATGACGCGGAGACGAGACCCAACAAGCGCCAGAAGATTTCGTTTGGGAGCTCAAGGAAAGCACAAGACGATTGAAGACAACACGGTCGCGACGTGAGCGTTGCGCTGCCTTTGCCTTGGACTGTCAATCGACAAAAGATGCTGGCTTTGCGCGTTGGATGAAAGATGCGCATCAACGACGATCGGCCAGCAACACACTCGCTTGCATTCAGATGTTGCCGCTACGCTTGTGGCATGAAAACTATCGCCACACATGTCGATCGCGTGGCACTGATTCTTGCTTGACGCGACAACGGGTGTAAGGGGCTTCTATCCAAGTGCTCTCAACAACGGGACTTGCTACTGCTCCTCCATGCACTTTGGCTCTCTTGGAAGCCGAACGAGAGAGAATTCGCCAGCTGGTCGATGCTGATGGCCGTTTATGAGACATACCTTGTTCAACACTTCCCCGTTGTGGACCAGTTGAAGTTTGATATGGATTGGTCAGGAGGCCACCCCCATGAAATTTATCACGCTGGCAATTAGGGCGCATGGCGCGCCACACAGCCAGTGATGCATCATATCCATCGGTGTCACCGGCTTCGCCGGAAAGGAGTATGACAGCTGGCTTGAGACCCCGAATTTGTGACCACGAACCGATGAACTCTCCTTCCTGGAGGAATGGGTCGAACGGAATCCCCGCTTCGCGCCTGCATGGGCAGGTTAGACACCACGCAGGCTACTCTGCAATGACTGTAGCCTCAGAAGACAAATTGGATTTTGCAAAGCACCTATTCAGTGTTTCATTAGACTCTAATAAACGACGTATGTCATCTAAATTGTGCAGCGTGGGCTGTCCAACCAAGTCTATTCGTGGTGGTAAATCCGGGGATGACTGGCTCGTTGTGTCTATTAATGCCTCGGTTGATCCCCGGATTTGAACGGCAATGCAGTGCCAGTGGGTTGGAATCCATCGTCTGGCCTGACCACAGTGTCTCAATATCAGTTGTTGTGTTCATAATAGGATCTCTCATAGATTAATGAGCGGCTGATGCTTTTCCAAAGCCTTCCAGTCAGGGTTTTGAGGTCATTGCGGTTCACTGGTCCAGTATCTCAAAGCATCTTCTTGCGAAGCCACGGAAACAGGATGCCACCACTATCACCAGAATCACTTGTATGTGCTGCCATCAAACCAATGAAATGAACAATAGTAACCTTGCAGCAGAAAGCGGTCGAGAGATTGAGGGCGTACCGCCCGCCAGAAAGTGCATGGGATTCAATGCCGCTATCAAGAAAGGCTGCTGTCCTTATTCTGCTGTTCGCAGATGACAAAGGCGGCTTAAGGGTGGTTATCACGATGCGTGCGACTACGCTCAGCTCCTATTCAGGACAAGCAGCACTACCGGGAGGCAAAGCTGAACCAGGCGAAACGGCGTTCGAAGCCGCACGGCGCGAGGCCTCGGAGGAGATAGGCCTGCCACGACGGGACGGGGCATTGCCACCACCGTTCAAAGTCGAACACCTGTGCGAGATGCCCACCAATCTGGCCAAAACCGAACTTGTGGTTCGCCCTTGCGTGGCATTATTACATTCGTATGACCCTGAGACGGGCTTGGACGCCAATGTTGCAGAAAAACTGCTTCCCAGGCTAGATGCAAGGGAGGTGGCGGCTGTATTTTCGGCTCCCTTCAAGAACTTCCTGTACAAGGAGGATCTGCCTGACCAACCCAATCTTCCCGGGAAACCAAGCGATTGGTACAAAGGTGCCTGGACTGATTGGCACCAGAGTCGGTGGAGGATGCACAATTTCTTTGTCCCTGTCACAAACCAGATTGTCTCAAAACCCAAGAAGAACGAGGGACAAAAGGCGGTCGCAAGCCATCTTGACCAGTTTGAAAGGTACCGAGTTTTCGGCATGACTGCTAGGATCTTGGTTGATGCTGCTCGCTACGCCTACGATCAAGAACCGGAGTTCGAGCATAACAGTCACTTTGGTGATGAAGATATGATAGTCCGTCTACGCAAAATTGGGCGACTGGGCGACATAAGACGCCCAGGTGACGAGCTTACCAAAGAAGACCTGGCTGCCGCTGCGAAGCTCTAACCGAGGGCAAGCTCCGTGTGTAAGGGATCGTTTTGCGTTGGAATGTCAGCGGAATGTGGACGAAGTCTTCAGCAGATTATCTCCACTGTCCTCCAACACAGAGCATATCAGACCTAACCCTTCAGGTCACCCTGTTCCGTCTTCGGTAGATTGACTGAACGGCCTTGTTGTCCACGGTGATCAGCGACAATGACTCAAGTCATTGATCTCTCGGATGCAAGGTGCTTTGCGGCTGAACACGGCACTCTTTGTTCATTGTTGAACACGCTGCCTGTGCCAACACCTTCTCAGACAATCATGGCGCTGATTGAGAGGCTTAGCCGTCATGAGTTGACGGTTCAGCAAATCTACGAACAGGACGACTGAGCTTCGATCCAATCCAGTGACTGTCGATGTCAACGAGGCAATGATGCTGTTGGCTTTCTGTTTTCTTGACTGAAAATGAACTCCCGCCCAAGCTCTGCTCCTCGAATTCGGATGATATCTCCTCCACCATCGCAAGCACTTTTAAACCTGCAGAGACAAGGACTCGAACTGGGAGTCCCACCGCCCTCAAGCTCAAGCACATTACAAGTTGCCGCAAATCATACCTCGGGCAGGTCGACGCCATCTGATAGGGACAAGCCGTTGCCCCTCGAACCTTTCGAAAAGAGGCGTTCTTCGAGCGTGTATAGCACGGATACCACCATAAGTAATATTATTCATATGTATGGTGGCTATCAAGAGCTGGACGACTTTGCACCCGTACCTAGACTTCATCATCCACAGGCTTACCGAGATACAGTGGCACCGCTGCTCATCAAGCGTCTAAGCCTTAGCCACTCCCCTTCCCTCCAAGCTGTTTCCATTTCCGAAGCCCGCCAAACCGTCTCGAGTCTTTCACTCCGATCTGCAGCCGCTCAGACAGGTACACTCCCGGTGGGAAACAAACAAGCTCCAAGTTTCCTCGAATTCTCCCGCGCGCTCCAAGACCGTCGCAACGAGCTTGTCTCGCCCATGTCGGGTTCATCTTCGGACTATCATCGCCAAGCGGCGTATGACCAACTGGCCCCTCCATCACCGCAAGTGTCATCCATTGAACAATCCATCTCCATCACGCACACCCCGCCACTGCCTGATGCCATGTCTGGCACCATATCAGATATCGACGACTCCGACCTTCTTCCGCCTCCTCTGCGGCTGAGCTGTTCAAGTCCGCCCAGCCCGCTATTGGACGGATGGGACAGTCATTCTCAGATTGATAGTTCAGCCCCTACCACAGATGAGGTCGTGCAGGGTGCTGAAGGTGGAGGGAACTGGTCTGAGAACTGGCTGGCCGAAGGCTTCGTCAGCCGGAGCCCGGTATCAGAACCGAGTAGGCATGATGCAGAAAGTAGTACTGGGCTGGAGAACAGTTTGACGGAAAACGAGCAAGAGCGCATCATCTCCTACGCCGAAGCCAAATATCCTGGCATGAAGAAGACGTCCTCTTTCGACATGATCAAGTCGGGAAAGAGCAGCGCCCGGTCCAGCCTGCAGCAGAACGTCAACAGCTTGTTGAGGAGCCTCTCACTGTCCAGCAGGAGTGACGGCAAGCAAGAACCTTTTCCCCAAAAGCAGCTGGCAATCCCAGCAACTCCATACCAGGTTTATGGCGCTGAAATATGGTCCAACAAAGCCAGGAACAAAAGAGAGAAAGAGAGCCAGCAACGTCGACAGAGGGGGAAGTCCTTTAGCCTCCTATCAGCTTACCAGAGCGGCCAGAGCCAATTCGTAGGGGTGCTTGAAGGAGCGAAACAAAAACTGACCCGAAAGTCGTCACAGAAAAGGCGAAGGAAATTGAAACAGAGCATTATTCTGGTGGGGCCGAAGAAAACAGAGGCGCTGGATGCTTTGGAGCGACATGAAAGAGAGTCGGATCTCCCATGGATATGATTCGAGCGGCGAAGCAGAAGACGAAATCATTGTCGACGGTAATAGAGGTTTTCGAGAATGGAGAGCGGAAGCGTTCTTGAGTCCTGATGGTGAGTGTTGAGCATAGCCAGCTACCAGGTTTACCGTAAATCAAGAAGCACTGAAGCGATGGATGGCTTTGCGAACATCTGTGTGCGTAGTACAACTACCTAGTAGGTTCTTTAATGTACTGTGTACGGTACTAGCATATGTGGTATAGGACTTGAATGAGGTACCAAAGTTTCATGACAAGGCTGCGGGCGGCAAACTCCGCCGTTGACGTCGGGATGACTTTCTCCGGACCCGACTTGCCAGATTTGAACTTGTTCGGCGGCTGTGGCTGCCCCCTCGGGCCCCGCGGGCGACTGCGGGGAGTTGGCTGGCGGATTCCCCGAAACCACCTCCTACATACGTTACAATGTATGTTCTATACTGTGCTATACTGTATTCTGCGACGTCAGGCATATATGGCCAGTCCTTCCGTTCCTGGCAAATTTCACGGAAGACGTTACTGCTGTCCAGATAATCTGAGTCTTCCACTTCTCATCCCGTCGAACCATAATCATCCAAAGGGCCGCAACAATGGGGGGTGAGACGTCCGCTCGTATAGCATCGCCGGTCCCCTACCCCAAGCTGGCCACCAAGCCTGTGGGCAAGCTCATCGAAAGCATCTATACCGACCGTCTGCGTCAGTTCACCTCGGGCGGGCAATATGAGAAACAAAATCTTCTTGCTAAGCTATACCACAACATCTGTAACGACAGTGACCATATCAAGCTGTCGGTTTATTCTCCTCCGAACCTCGCACGGCCGACTTTCGAAGAAGCAACTTCGCACAAGTTCAGACCTACCCATCTTGGCGAGTCCTTCGGCCCTGCATGGTCCACTCACTGGTTCAAGATCCAATTGACAGTTCCCGAGTCGATGCGAGATGGTGAACACTTGGAGTTTCATTGGGACGCAAACAATGAAGGTTTGGTCTGGACACACGACGGAAAGCCTCTCCAAGGCTTGACCGGTGGCGGTGAGCGCACTGAATGGATACTCCCCACAAGCTGGCGAGACGGAAAGGAGCACACATTCTATATTGAGATGGCTTGCAACGGAATGTTCGGCAATGCTCCTGGTGGAGATAGCATCCAGCCTCCGGATCCAAACAAGTCCTATACCCTATGGAAGGCACAGATTGTTGATGTCAACCTGGCGGCGAGACAACTGTACGTGGATTTCTGGATCATTGGAGATGCCGCCAGGGAGTTCCCTGAGGACAGCTGGGAAAGACACGAAGCCTTGCGGGTCTGCAACGAAATCATGGATACATTTATTGCAGGAGACGGGTCCATTGACTCCATAAAGAGAGGCCGCGAGATTGCACAGAAATACCTCGGAAAGCACGTCGACTCTGCAAAGGTCTATGACTCGCCTGGCAAAGATATCGTGTATGCCATTGGCCACTGTCACATCGACACCTGTTGGCTTTGGCCATGGGCCGAAACCAAGCGCAAGGTGGCAAGGAGCTGGTCGAACCAGTGTGACCTGATGGACCGTTATCCAGAGCACCGCTTCGCATGCAGTCAAGCACAGCAATACAAGTGGCTGAAGCAGGACTATCCCTATGTTTATGATCGAGTCAAGGCAAAAGTCAAGGAAGGCCAGTTCCAACCGATCGGTGGAAGCTGGGTGGAGCACGACACAAACATGCCCAACGGTGAGTCTCTGGTCAGACAGTTTCTCTACGGTCAACGATTCTTTGAAAGCAACTTTGGTGAAAGGTGCAAGACCTTTTGGCTGCCTGATACCTTCGGTTATTCCGGCCAATTGCCCCAAATCTGCCGGCTGGCAGGGATGACCAGGTTCTTCACCCAGAAATTGAGCTGGAACAACATCAATAACTTCCCTCATACCACATTCAACTGGGTTAGCTTGGACGGGAGCCAGGTCATCTGTCATATGGCCCCGAGCGAGACTTATACCGCAGATGCTCATTTTGGGGACGTCAAAAGGAGCGTGACTCAACACAAGAGCATGGACCAGGACAACACCTCTCTACTCGTATTTGGTAAAGGAGATGGTGGCGGCGGTCCTACAAGAGAAATGCTCGAGAAATTGAGGCGGTGTCGCGGGCTGAGTGATAACGTTGGTCGACTTCCACGAGTCACGATGGGTAAGTCCGTGGACGATTTCTTTGCCAATCTGGAAAAGAAAGCTGTAGAGGGTACAAAGTTCGTCACCTGGTATGGTGAGCTGTATTTTGAACTCCACCGAGGCACATACACGACTCAGGCGAACAACAAACTCAACAATCGAAAACAGGAAGTCATGTTGCATGACATTGAATATCTGGCGACTTTGGCCAGCTTGAAGAGCAAAAGCTACAAATACCCCAAGAAGGAGATTGACGAGATGTGGGAAAATGTGTTGCTCTGTCAGTTCCACGACTGCCTTCCAGGCAGTTCCATTGAGATGTGCTACGATGATTCCGACGCCTTGTACGCCCACAATGCCAAACTTGGAGGAAAGGTTAAAGAGGAAGCACTTACAGTACTTGGCCTTTCACAAAACATCAGAGCGAATGCTGAACTCGTGGCCATCAATACTGCTCCCTGGAAGCGCTCGGAGCTGATTCCGATCCCGAAAGCGCAAGCCAAGCCGCAGCACCAGAAGTATGCTTTTGTTTCCGGAGGTACAGGCGTCGTCAAGACACATGCGGCATCAGCCATACAATCCACAGCATCTGTCGAGGAAACCAGGAAAGGCGTGTTTGTGCTGAAGAACAGTCTATATCGGGTTGAAGTGGAGGCAGGCTGTATTACTTCTCTGATAGACCTCAGGGCTGATCGCGAGGTCATCGCCAAGGGCGGCAAAGCCAACCAACTGGTCATCTTCGACGATAAGCCGCTCTACTGGCAGGCGTGGGATGTCGAAGTTTTCCACTTGGAGTCTCGTAAAGAGTTGAGTTCCGGACCCTCGGAAATCGTTGAGGACGGACCGTATCGAGTCAGCGTGGCAAGCAAGACTCAGATCAGCAAAGACAGCTGGGTGAAGACGACGATCAGCCTTGATGCTTGCGAGAGCCAAAGCGAGTTTGGATATGTGACTGTCGAGGCAGAGGTCGAATGGCGTGAAACCATGAAATTCCTCAAGGTGGAATTTCCGGTCGATGTAGTCAACACTGAGGCAAGCTATGAGATGCAATATGGGATCATTCGCCGTCCAACTCACTACAACACCAGGTAAGTTCAGTTCACCTAAATGAAAATATTTTGCAGCTGCTGACTTCTACTAGCTGGGACATGGCCAAATTTGAGGTCTGCTGCCACAAGTTCGCCGATCTCTCAGAAGCCGACTACGGAGTCTCCATCCTCAACGACTCCAAGTACGGATTCGCGACCTGTGGCAACTTGATGCGATTGTCCTTGTTGCGTGCTCCCAAGGCGCCCGATGCACATGCCGACATGGGTCGACACCACATCAAGTGGGCCATCATGCCACACCAGGGTGCATTGAGTAGCAGTACCGTGAGAGCAGCCTACAATTTCAACTACCCCATCCAACTGGCATCTTTGGTGGAAGACAAACCGGCAAAGGAACTCTTCAATGCGGTGCACTTGACCGGAGCGAAATCCCTTGTCCTGGACTGCGTCAAGCGCGGCGAGGACGACAAGGATGTCTCTCGAGGGGAACTCCCCGAGCGCTCCGGTCAGAGTGTGGTGCTGAGAATCTACGAAAGTCTGGGAGGAAAGAGTCGAGGCACCATTGAGACCACTTTACCGGTCAAGAAGGCCTACAAGACCAATGTCTTGGAGGATGATCTGGAAGAGCTCGAGATGTCTGGCAAGGTCAAAATCAGTATTGACATTGAACTGCGGCCATTCGAGGTGGCGACCTATCGGCTGCAGTTGTGATCTGAAAAGGAGGAGCTTCTGCTTGGTACTGGTATCCTGAGTGTCAGGGCAGTGGAAGATAGGACGACGGCGGGATATACTACCTGGTAGTAGTCTCAAAAGCACATGAGGTCAGGAAGGATACAAAAAGCCTATCTAGTTCAGAAAAACTTAGCTATCTAGATGCCATCTAAGTTCACTTTGTCATCGGCAGCAAATATCTAATCGTCATGGACTTGAACATACATATCGTTGTTAGGGGCCAGATCACTGGAGAGACAAGGCTGATGCTAAGCAGTAATCAAGACCAACTAGAATCCCGATTCATCATTCACTTGCATTGTGATCTCGAATAGTAAGAGACAATAAACCCCTCCTAAAGAGACGACTCTAAGTCTCTACACTTTGACGAGGACCTTTGTGGTTGTGATGCCGCTCTGCTCAGGCCTGGCTCTCCCCGACTGACCCTGGTTAGAACAACCTCCACAAAACAGACATCCTTGTCTAGAGGTTCAGGTTGACAAACAAATCAGACACGCTGTGCAGCATCATGAATCAATTATTAGGAGTCTCAATTGTTCCTTTACACGCCTCTCACATCTGCAGGCCTGAACTGGTGGTGCCCGAACGTGGATAGGCCCAAGCCAGCGAGACATTTCCCTTAGTCCTGCGGCGCTCCCCGACGGTCTAAAAAGCGATGGTCGAGTTACGTCTTTTGTTTACAGTCTAACAACTGAACTTGTTCCCGTCCGTTGTGCAACCAAAACAACTCCCATCGCTTCCTGCGCTCCGCCGAGCGCAACCCCTGTCTCGCTTGACTTAAAGTGACTCTCATGTAGAGGCCGCCGAGCCAACGCTCCAGCTGCCAGTGAGCGACAAACCTTTTGGGCTTCCATCCATCTCCTGAAGCCCTCTCTGCGCCTTGACTGCGCATCGTTTTCTCAGGCCACTGCAGCCTGAGCGCCGCGGTGCGATCGAAGCGAGACCTCTCCTCTTCCCCCTAACATTGCGCACGCCTCTCAACGCGATTTCGACAGATACTATATTCCTCTCGATTCTGCAGAGAGAGAAGAAAAAACAACCCGCAGCGGCCTTAATATAGGAGGAAAACATACACCTGCACCTCTCCATTATGAGCACAATCAGGGTCGGGGACACTGTCACTGTCCCGGGAGACATGCACGGCGTGGTCAAGTTCATCGGACCCGTGGCAGGCAAGAAAGGAACATTCGCAGGCGTCCAGCTGGCACCAGAGTACGCACCGCGAGGCAAGAATTCCGGCGAAGTCGATGGCAGACAGTATTTCCGAACCACGATACCCGGGTCTGGCATCTTTCTGCCTCTGGAAAAAGCCGTCAAGAAGTCTGCCGGGTTGGGCGGCAACGGCATCAGACCAAGCCCGGGGACTCCCACTCCCACTCGACTGAGCAGTTTCAACCAAGGCGGCCGGACGCCGGCGATTGCAAAGCCCAACTTTAGCCAATCCATCGGTCCTGGCGTGAGGAACGGCGCAGCAAGCCCGGCGCTCAAACCTCCCGTCCGGAGAGAATCGCTACCACGGCCGTCGAGTCCACTGCGCAAAACAGCCAACACGCCTACTCCGAGAACAACATTGGCGACGCCCAAAACCCGACCCAGCGGCATCGGACTGGCCAAGAACAGTAGTACGAATGGAGGTGGACTGGGACAACACTACGGGATGGCGGGACAAACACGCCGCGGCGGCAACAACAACGCTTTCAGCCAGAGTCTACGACAGAGTTCTGCAAATACTACGCCGAATCGCTCAGCAGCGGGGTCAGGTGCCAGTCCGTCACTGGGACCAGAATCGAGTTTCGACGAGTCGCAAGAGCCGAACGTGACCCCGACGCCCACGCCTCACGTCAATCGCAATGCTGCCGACGCAGGAGGTAATGCCGCAGCTGCTGCTGCGAAATACGAGACCAAAATACGACAGCTAAACGAGGAACTGGGCGAAGCAAGACGACAACTAAGCGAGCAGAGCTCGACGGTCGCCGAGATGGAGCGCAACTTCAACGAGCTGCAGAAACTACTGCCTGGTCTTGAGAGTGGCCAAGCCGGTGGTGGAAAAGGACCTCGCGGTGGTGAAGCAGACGAAGAAGAGCTCCCTCGAGACGTGACATCTCTGCGCGAAATCATCCGAGAAAAGAACGAAAAGATCAAACTGCTCACGGCCGAGTTTGACGCACATCGGGCGGATTTTCGGTCCACCATCGACACTCTGGAGATGGCGAGCACAGAAACCGAACGGGTGTACGAGAAACGAGTGGACGAATTGCTCGAAGAGATCCGGACCCTTCAAGACCGCAGCGAAGATGTCGAGAGCGTGGCGCAGCAACTTAAGCAGTTGGAGGAACTGGTTCTGGAGCTTGAAGAGGGGCTGGAAGATGCTCGACGAGGCGAGGCCGAGGCGCGGAGCGAAGTCGAGTTTCTCAGGGGAGAAGTGGAAAGGTCCAGGTCGGAACTACGGAGAGAAAGGGACCGGCTGAAAACTGAAGAACAGTTGAATGGCTATTCTGCGAGTAATGTGCAAGACCTGGAAGCTCAGTTGAACGCCAAAGATGATGAAATCCGCGGTCTCAAGGCGATTATTCAAAATCTCAACGAGTCTCATCACAAAGCAAATGATGTTGGCAGTCATGAAACAGACCAAAATGCTGCTCAACGGGCCAAAACGAATACAAATACACATACACCTCAGGAGGGTGGTGATGAAGACGTCCGCCTCAGTCTCCAACAACAGATCCGTGACCTCGAAGCCCTGCTGCAACAAAAGAATGCGCACGAAGAAGAGCTGGAGAATGAAGTCAAGCAGTTGCGTAATAGCGTGACTTTGTCAAAGTTCCCTATGCCCGCATCGCCGTTTGGGATTCATACCGGCATGAGACATTCTCGTGGGAATAGCGAGGATCTGCCTGACGGCGGCGGCGGCAAACATCAAAGTACCGGCACGACAGGAAGTCAGAAAACGGTCGTCATGAGTGGTTCTTCTACGAGTCCTACTGCCCGAAGAGGACGATTTGACAAGTCTTTGCAAGATAACTGGGGTCATACCAGTACGACAACGGCAGACGGCTCGCCTGTCAAACGACGACAGCAATATAGTCGTCAACATGGTGGCAATGAAAGGAACAATGGTGATGACAACGACGATGATGTTGTGACGGATATATCGACGGCGTCCCAAGCAAACGCAAACGCAAACGCAAATGGTGCTCTGTGGTGCGAAATATGCGAAGAAGGCGGCCACGACATCTTGAACTGTACAAACATGTTTTCAAATGAACAGCAGCAGGGTCCTCCAGGAACAAAAAGGGACCCCAAGTTCGAGGAGCGCGACCGACCTTCGTCTCTGAATAGAGATCGACCAGCTCCTTTGATGATGGGTCTCAACAGGGCGAAGAATACGGGCAGCCAGCCGCTGCAATCTTCGTCTCTCGACGACGACGGTATAGATGACGATGACGGTGATGGTGTCAGCGACGTTCCACCCTCGCCGCCGCCCAAGGATACGACAAAGCCAGCACCCGCACCTACATTAATCGAAGGCACAGGCGCCCAGGCGGGAATGTTGGCAGGTCGAACAAGCGGTGTCATTGACCCGGAGAAATGGTGCGCTTTGTGTGAGCGGGACGGACATGATTCGGTCGATTGTCCGCTCGAAGATGCTTTTTAGTTAGTTACCTAGGTACCTACCTTCCCAGTGTTTTTCCTGTTATGACACCAGTGGTTTCATAGGTTCTTATATCAGGGTGTCGGGTGTCATTGACGGATATGTAACACAGTGGTTTAAAAGTAATGGATTGGATATACCGCAGTGTACTTGCTCTGCTCTCTCTGCGCTCTCTGCGCTCTCTGCGCTCTCTGCGCTCTCTGCTCTCTCTGCTCTCTCTGCTCTCTCTGCTCTCTCTGCTCTCTCTGCTCTCTCTGCTCTCTCTGCTCTCTCTGCTCTCTCTGCT